TCCTTGGAAAATTTCAGCGTTTTTTGTATTTGTATGAGACTGGAATTGTGTTAGGCTTTTTTATTGTTGTGTGGACAATGTGATCTCTGTCTTGTTTTATTTTTATTTTTTTAATGTATAAATTAAAGAAGCTTCTTGTTCATACTAGCTAAATTTCTGCATCATTATGCCAGTGGAGGGACTGTGTCAGGACTTTGATGATTTATAACTGCCACCTAATTTCTGACTGGAAATTTATTCATGGCCACTTCATACCTACTTGCACATCAGCTAATATTTTCTGTTATCTTATATAGTTATCTGTCTCTAGAATTTACAGAATCACAGAAACGTTTAGGTTGGAAAAGACCTCTGAGATCAAGTCCAACCTTTGACTGACCACCACCTTATCAGCTAGGACTATGGGCCAGTTGTTTCTTGAACACCTCCAGGGATAGTGACTCCACCAGCTACCTGGGCAGCAGTGCTTAAGTCCTCTTTCTGTTAAGGACTTTCTCCTGATGTCCAGCCTGAACTTCCCCTGGTGTAGCTTGAGGCTGTGCCCTCTTGTCCTGGTGCTGGTTGCCTGGGAGTAGAGTTTGACTCAGATATAATATGACAGGGTAACCACTCGTAAGTGTCCTTGATTTTACCAACAACTTCCAGAGTTTGTTTTTATTAGTCCCTCTGTGTAAGAGCTTGCTGTTGTCTGTTTTTAAATTGCATGCCAGTATCAATACCCACTTAAGGTCTTCCCGTTCTTTTTCTATTATGTTTCAATCCTTTTCTGCATATATTATGCTACTTGGTCTTATCAGGAAATGTCATTAGCAAGGTTTTTGATATAAGTTTAATTATGGCAAATATCAAAGCATTTAAAAATGCAAAAGCTTTGACCAAAGACTCATTCTTTATGGTCTCCATTAGTAACCTTCTGATCCAATGGCTTTCCAGTCAGTGTAGACCACTGTTATCTCTGCCATCAACATATTTGGTTCCTTTCCAATCTTTTTTATCCTAACTGATATGGCACAGTATCAAAAGTCCATAACCATACAGCATAGTGTAAAAAGTTGACATAAACTTCCTGCATTTTCTTTATCTGTAAAAATTAGCTGTCTTATCGAAAAAAGATGTCAACCTACCTCTGGTGAACCAACATGATATCTTCTTTGATGATCATTTGTTTTCTTCTTTGTCTTTGAATTTTGCAAGAAAGAATAATTATTCTCAGTAGCATGCTGGCTTTTGATCAAATTCATAGATGTGACATATTCTTGATTGCTTTTTCTCCTTTTAAATATAGGCACTATGCTTGGATTTTTTCTGCTTTTGAGTTTATAGATTTATTAAAAATCCTTTCTGTTGCATCTTTTATCTCCTGTGCCCATTCTTTCAGAACACTGGGATGAAGGTGATCCAAATACTGCATTTTCAGCTTCCAGTTTCTGTTTTCAGCTGTGTAATTTGTCCTATATTTTAATGAGTTTGTGCAAGCTTGTTTTTTTAACCTTTGGATAGATATTCAAGCTGTGCTCGCAGAATCCTAGAATGTTTGAGATTGAAAGGGACCTCTGGAGGTCATCTGGTCTACCTTGCTCAAGTAGGGTCATGTAGTATCAGTGGCCCAGGGCCGTGGTCAGATGGTCATCTTCAAGGATGGAGAGAGATCTCACAGTCTCTCTGGGCAACTGGTGCCAATACTCAGTCACTCTCTAACCAGAAAAGTTTCTTCATATTCAAAGGGGACCTCTTGTGTTTCAGTTTGTGCGCATTGCCTCTGGTCCTGTTACCGGGCACCACTGAAGTGCCCATTTCTCTCCTCTTTGCACTCTTTCTTTGGATATGAGACCCACCCTGAGGTTTCTCCAGGTTCAACAGTCCCAGCTCTCGCAGGCTCGCCTCATGTGTGAGATGCTCCTTCCTTCAGTTTCATCCAGACCATTGCTGAAATCCCAGAAAGTGATCCTTACTGTGTCAGAGCAGTTCTGGTAGAGGGGTTGTAGGTGGCTTTTGTTATTTTTTGTTTTAATTCTGTGTATTTAGGAGAAAGTAACTCAGAGTGCACAAATATATAATTTGACACATGCAATATCAAACTGCCACCACCTTAGATTTTTTAAGGGCTTTTGCATATGTAGTGTTTGAAATACAAGGCTTTATATCAGAATTATGTACATGTACAATTGTGCAATACTGAATTAATTTCATTGGCATAAAATCTCCATTTTAAAATTTTTTAATTAGGAAATATTTTGTCACTTGAGACATTGTTTTAATTAATTCATGAGTCTTGTGCCATTCCTACAACCAGTTCTGTCCATATTATTTACTTAATATTGCTATTCATTAGCTATTTCAGTACTAGTAGAAAACATGTTAAAGAATCGCTGTCTGTGTGTCATGATGGTTGTATCACTGTGGAATCTAATGTTTTATTCTAGATCTGGAGGTTCTGATCATTACTGTAACTCCAGACTTTTAAATTTAGGATTGTTTGGCCCAGTAGAAGTCCCAGATCGAACAATACCGTACTGCTTATGTAGGCATCAAACCAAGATGAGGGGCACGGAGGATGCATGTAATGTTCTGATCCACAGATTTCTGTAAGATTGGAAAGAGTTCCTAGGAAGAAGCACCACCATTTCCCAGCATGATACATTGTATACAGAGCAGCCTTTAGCTGATGTGTTCTCTATATGCAATAGTAAAACATGTCTAAAATATGATATTTCTTAGAATATTGGTGCATCCCTAAATGCTGAAATCCTTATCTGAGCCCTTGCAAACCATCTGTTTAAAAGGTTGAGCTTTTATCAAAACACTCAGTCACATGTTTTCACAAATGCTTTTTTCACCTAAATAAACTGTTCTAAAATAATTTTGTTTAAAAAATTAAACCAAAAATAAATGAAAGCCCCAGGGAATCTAACTTCAGAAACTTCTTGTTGTGATGAGAATTTTAAGTCACTTTCATTAAAAAACCTGAAAACTTTAGGACTTGCAAAATAGTGGGGTTTTTTTGTCAAGCATCAGACTTGTAACGCTGTATTCTAAAAAATAATGTCTCAAACACACATTAGGAAAAAGAAGCTGAAAACCAGCATTCACGTGCTTTCAACGGTACTGTCAGTAATGCTCTCTTAGTAGGATTTTTCTCACTGAATATTGGGTGAACTAGAGATGTAGTACTCTTATTTTTTTACATATGCATTCATATAAAGCTAGTTCTAAATACACGGTCTGTCAAAGCCACAGTTCACTTGTCATTCTAATGAGCTGGGTTTGGGACTGTGCTTTGTCTGCCTGAAGTGTGGGCTGTTGGCAGAAGACGTGTTTGGGCTTCACTCCTCTTTTGCAGTTTATTCCCATCCTCTTCTTTATGCTGGCACCTGGATTTGTGGGTGATGCTGCACAATAGCTCAGGAGACTGATTAGACAAACTGACTTGCCTAAGGAAAAAAAAATCCATCCTAGTTTTTTTCCTATCAGATTATTTCCTTGTTCCATGTCACCACTCGGCTGCATAAATTAGAACATCAGTGTTCTAAAGTGGTACTCACTGGCAATGGCAGGTGACAGTGACCATGTGAAAGCAGCCTGGGGAGATGGCTGTGCTGAGGATTGCAGTGGACTGTACCAGCACTTGGGCTGGTGACCGATGGGCTGTTTCAGATATTTTACTTCTCAGCGGTTTGCTCAGTTGAAGGGGAGGACAGACTGTGCTCCTTTTCATCACATGACTGGGAGCAGGTGATACCACAGAGAAAACAAAGTAAAGTGCAAGCTTAAAACTATGTAAAGAACAGTCTGGTTGTTGCAGAGGCCAAGTCAACTCATCAAGCATTTCTGGATATCAGAAGAGATAGATTAAAGTGTTACATGTACCATATAGTGTGTAAACCTATATTGCTGTTACTATTTTTAATAGAAAATTTTAAGATGAAAGTACATGATAATTCAGAGTAAATTTTGAGGTCTATTTTTTAATCCTCCTCTGTATTAGTTGCTCTGGAGTCATGCACAGAGGGTTAATACTGCAGTACTTCTCTTACAGCTTCAAGTCATGAATCAACTTTCTTGAGACACTGGAGTAGAAAGAATTGCTCAGTACAGTTTTCTTTTAATCTTCATAATGTGACTGTCTTTTGTTTCTTGAATGCCTTTCTCTTCAGCAAAGATGTTTGCACAGTGTGTTGTGCCTGCTGCTCTCTGTAAGAGAGCTGCAGCCACATGTCATTAGGAGTAAGAATTGACATGATCTGTAGTAGATAAGTTGATTATTTGGAGCTAATGTTATAAAGAGGTTTCAAAAATGTATCAGAAATATTTCACTAGTTTACTAGTCAGATGCATTAGTTTAATTAATTAGTTTAATTAAGTTTAATTAGTTTAATTAATTGAGTTTTGAATGTAAATGAAGGAGTAAATCTGTGAGTTAGTGACTAGTATAAAGCAAAGCAGCCTTGCTGTATCATCAGCCTAGTCTGATGAGTGACTTCCCACCCAAAACTGCAGGTGCAGAGTTGGCTGGCTTGTTACCTTGTCGTTCAGGGAAAGTAATGTTTACCACTTTTACTTGCAGGTTTTCCAGTATTTTTTATCACTGTCAGCAAGGACCTGCTCAGCTTTTCACCTGCTTTTTGAATAGGTAAACAGTGCAGAGCTCGCAGTGAATTTCAGTGCTTTGTCTAGTATGCAATGTTTTTTTTTCTAATGCTTTTCCAGGATGGCAGTAATGTGCATCCACCTGCTGTACAATGCAAAGGAAAGAGAATTCCCGTGTCAGAGATACAGTGATACAGAAATATACACAGGCTGTAAGACTTCCCAAACTCTTGAGGACACATGAGTCTATGCAAAATAGGTACATATATCATGGAATCACACAATATGCTGAGTTGGAAGGGACCCAGCTGGGTTATCGAGCCCAACTCCAGGCCCCATGCAGGACACCCCAATAATCACATCATGGTCCTGAGAGCATTTTCCAAATGCTTCCTGAACTCAGGCCTGATGCCATGGCCCGCTTCCTAAGAAGCCTGCTCCAGTACCCAGCCACCCCCAAGGTGAAAAATTCTCTCCTGAAATCCAACCCAAACTTCTCCTGACCCAGCCCCATGCCACCCCCCAACACCGAGTTCTGACACTGGCCAAGATATTGTGCATCAAAAAATATATGGGAACAGTAACAGATGAATAGCTTTAAAGTAGTTCTCAGAGCCTACTTGTAAAGCAGATGATACAGTAGTGCTGGAGAAACCAAGGTCTGTGCTGCTGTGGCAGTGAGAGCAGAATAGGAAATCTAAATGCCTCTTTGGCTGCCTTGAAGTCATTGTCTCATACTAGCCGTGTCAGCAGCGCCTGGCTCTTTGTCAGTCGGGCTCAGGAGGAGGTGGTTACCAGCCAGCAGAATATGACCAAGGCTTTTAAACACCATTGCTTGGAAAGTCTTATTAATGGCTGAATATGAGATCAATGTGCAATAATTCTTTCAAGCAGCATCTTTTTAAAAGCCTTTAGCAATCTGTCATCTTCATCTCCCTCCTCCCAGTTAGAAAGCCACATTAGTCAGGAGAAATCGCATGATCCTGGGAAGTTTCAAACTGCATCCGCTGATGCTGTGAGGAAAATGCCTCTGTGCAGGGACACAGGTGCAGTTACACTGACAGCTTCTTCTCATCCTCATCTCGGATCATCCTGGAGGGACAAGCAGAAAGAAACGGGGAGGTGGGCGACATTCTGTCAGGTGCATGGCAGCAGTACCAAAGAGAAAAATGGAATACGCTCTTCCAGGAGACAAAGATCGCGCTGTCTGTGAGTGTTAGCTCAACTTTTTCAGATCTGTTTTGAGAGAGAGGAAGATTTCAATACTGGTAATTTGTTCTGAGTTTAGTCACCTGTTCAGCGTACCTTAGCCATTGCTGTCATTCTGGTAGAAATGTTTAATCTTTTGGGGTTTTAAACTGATAGTTCATAATTGTAGTTATTTTGGAGGTGGCTTAAGCTTCCATAGTATTTTTGACATAGTGGAAACCTCAGCTTTGAACAACATCCATATTTTAAGAGGAGATCTTTAAGCCTTTGTTCAATGTCATTAAATACTACTTATAAGGTTAATCTGCTTAATTAGCTACTAAGTGGCAAATTGTGTCGTAGTAAAGAATGTGGGTGAGGGAAGCCTGTGTCTTTATTGGAGAAATCCTGAGTCATTTACTTCATGATGCATCAGCAAAAATAATTGGGTGTGGTTTTGATTTTCAGCTGCTATTGTAACAAGGCTATAAAAGCTAAGAGTGGCTTAGTCTCTGATATGTGCTTGCAAAGGTTTTGTTTTCTCAGAATACACACAAAATGCCTCAAATATTTAAGTGTGGTATCTGTGCTTGCAAGGCTGTAATAGATGTAAGTATTTGAGTATTTATCTATCAAAAGCAAACTGTTTTCTGAGACTAGGGAATTTTCTGTTAATACAACCTTTCCATCACATAGTAGTAGGCAATGCTATGTTTGATTATATTTTCATGTATGCCTTAATTTTTTTTTATTTTATTTTTACTGTCTTATAATTGCAGACACAATGCTTAGTCTTCAGTTTATATGATTTTTCCTAACCCAGGTCAGTGCTCTATGAAAATAAGCATTGGGGAACTGTTAAAGACCCACAGTAATTTAGTGGACTGTTCTTTAATCCTGCAAAATATATCTTGGGTTTAGAATGAGTCTCAAACACTTTCAGCAATGAAAAAAGGAGTTCTAATTAAACATGTGTTTGTGAGTGAAATAATTTTTAGCAGTATGGATCTAAAATAAATATGCTCATGCAGTTGTGAATGAAGAGGAAAGGATTTTCTTTCTTGATTCTGTTAACAGGAGCTTAGATAAACCTATGCTGTACTGTAAATAGTTACAATTGAATGACTTTGCAGTATTACTACAGCGAATTAGAAAAGTCCTGAAAAGATAAGTGGGTTTTTTGTTGGTCTCTGCTGAGTCTGTAGAAAACTCTGATTCTTCAAACTTTGAAAAACCATGTTCCTACTCAGTACATCAGCTGTTTCTATCTCGCTTCACTTGTTAACAAGGTTTTTAATATATAATCTGTGTAAAGTACACCAAAGAAGAATGGCTTTTAGTCTTCTCTCTGTTCTGGAACTGTTCCATTTCCAGCACTCATTTTGGACACTTAACATAATTTTTAAAAATGCACTGGCCATAAATGTAATCCCTATCTCCTGTGTCTCAGAAAGTGACTTATAAGAAGCAGTAGCAGCTTGGAGGAAGCTTTTGAAATAAACACAGCATATTGCTGAAAAACCTTGTTTTGGTATCAATTACTTTAGATAATATTTCCTACCAGTAACTGATAGTATGATGGTAACATAATAATAAGCTTAATTATTTTTTAAAATTTCCTTTCTACTTTTTACATTATTCATTACCATGTCATTCTGCCAAAGACAACTAGAAATAAATAAACAAACCTGACTGTCAAAAGGGAGTAATACTAATGGTTCTAGTTATTATCTAAGTTGAGAGTGGTTAAAAGTAAAAATTCAGAAGTACTTGTAATAGATTCCTCTAGAATAATATGCTGTATTAATAGGAGGTTGAGATTTTGTATTTAAAATTCCCTCTTTGTGCCATCCACCGAAACAAACTTGCTGTTCCTTTACCTTACATTCTAATGTAAAAGCTTTTTCACTGGTCTAATTATTTTTTTAAATTACCACCTATTACTGCTTGCAAGGATAAACTTTCTGGTGTATCCTGAATTTCTTGAAATAAAAGTGTAGCATTTACATCACATGCAGAAATGTAAAAGCTGTTGTGCTTTTTTTTCCTTTTTAGTGTTGGACTGTTGTAAGAAGGAATGTATGAATTCTGGGCAAAAAAGTTGTGAGGAAACAAGGCAGAGGCCTCCTATTTTCCCCAACCAAGAAGTGTATTTTTTGATATTATCATGATATTTGCAGGTGAAAGCAGCTGAGCTGACAGTGCTGATGAGCAACAGCAGGAGTTGAAACTGAGGAACTTTTCTCACATTTAGAAGTGCATGTTCAATAATATGTGCAGGTCTGCAGTCTTGTTTATGGAAAAGAAGGCTTTTAGGAGTGAGAGGTTTGGGTAAGGATCTAAGCTAAAAACTTAGAGCTATAATTTGTGATACGTAAGACACATTATGAGATTTAATTATTGCTTTTAGAGCTTTGTGAGGATGAAACATGCTTTGTAAGCATTAAGTGTAGTATTTCTGTCTCTTGTACTGAAACACAGTATACAAAATAGGATATTTTAATGGTATCACATTGCAATTGTGTAGTAGAATAATTAATAATTTTCTGATTCCTTGATAATATTGGAAATTCTGTATGAATGGCCACACATAAATCTACCCTTCGACTTTTAAAAATTGGTTTAATGGATTTTCTAGACATTACTTACATGTCATGGGAGATATTATCTCTAGATTGGTGGAGACATCCTCCATTTTTTCCTCTTTTGATCATAGGCAACCATGAGTTATACAGACCACACAGCTCTGCAAGTGACAGGCTAGTAGGAAATACAATAAATAAATAAATAGTGTAGGTTTATGTTAGCATAGACTAATGTATGTATGCCATCTGTAATATTTCTAATAGGAGTGTAATCTTCAGATTTTTCTAAGTAAAGTGTGAAGCTGCTTGTGCTACACAAGAGATCTCACTCTTAATGATGATTTTTCTGATTAGTTTGTTAAGGTTCCTAATAATCTAATTTCAGAAGGGCCTCAGCCCAATTCTTTATTCATTGCTTTCTTTACCCACATCTTGCATCCTTCTCATGGATTCAGAAAGGAGAACAATGGTGGTTTTACTTACATAAGGAATTTTAGTCACAGCATAGTTCTTGGTCATTGAAGTTTATAAAAAATACAGGGTTCTTCCAATATGCAAGTAAGTTCTGCTAATAATATTTTAGAAATAATGGAATAGACAAAGCCTGTGGAGCCAAAGAAATCTGTTAGAGGAAGATTTTGTAGCCTGAGTACTTTCTGAGAAGCTGAAAGAGAAGACCCAACTGAAAGATAAGACCCATTATCTAAGTAAAGGAATAACATTCACATTAAATTTTAATTAATTTTGATTTCCTAAGCAAATAGTCAGAAAACTGATTTCCAGTTCTGAAGAGGGATAAAAATGTGTAAATTTACCCATTACGAGACCATGTAAAAAGCCTTCTAAGACTTAGTCAGAAGGGATTTTTCTAAAACTAGTAGGGTGCCCATATTCTACCTTAATTACAAGAACAAATAAAATTATTCTTCCTAACTAGGGGCTGAAGTATGAAATTTCATTAACGTTTGGAGAGATGGTGTATTTTTTACTGTTTCTGTAGAGTAGAAAATCTACTAATTACAAGTTAGATGGAAGGTTATAACGTAGCTAGGCAACCAGAAGAATTGGGCATTCTTACATCTATGCCATATTGCACTTACTAGTGATAGCTTTCCAAAATTTAGATAATTCAGTTTTCAGTGGATAATCTCTGTCTGTCTCTACCTCTCATTCTGCCTTCCTTCATCCATTTTTGTAAGGAAATTGAACTAATCTAAATGGCAGTAGACCAGTTTTCTTGATTAACTTCTAAAAAAATTATTTCATCATGGACCCCAAAGAAAGGTGCACCCTAAGATAATAGTAGAAAACCTCCTTGTTATTTTTGGGTTATTTTGCCAGCTGTCTGTATGTTGGTGAGTGCCAATAAAGTACAAGAAGAGTCATGTGTTGCGTGATTGCTGGCCTTGCTTGTGGCAAGTATGGTCAAGATGATGGGCAGGTTCGCCAAGAGCCTAGGTATGATTTCCTTGAAATTCTGCCTGGAGCGAGCCTTATAACTATGATTTTTGAAGAAAACATTCTCTGTTCACCCACTGCTTTGTCTGTGTCTTCATCTAAATGGGGAAAAATCCATTCTACCCTAGAAGTTCTTGTGTGGAGGTGTGCAGGTTGTTCCAGGTGTGCTGGCAGTGCACAGCCTGGCTCTGTATGAAAGCCATTTTAAGAAGACAAGGTTATGCATATCCGTGCATATTCTCAGTTTTGTCTTGAAGTTATTAAGTGGATTTCACAGGGTCTTAAATAGAAAAAGTATTCTAGTCTATTAAGTTTTCTCCTCCGTTTTAATTAAGGAGTTCTGGTAAAATAGCATGTTCTACTTGAGAGAAACAGCTGGTCCAGAATGGCACAGTTTAATTAGAGTTGGATGCATTTTGAAAAAGTGCTCAACCGTGGAAGAGGGGTACTTGGAGAAAACATAGGATTGTGTCATCACACTGGAAATATTCTTACAAGGAAATGAGTCATTAACCTATCCTAGTGTTTTGCACAATCATTGTTATTGTGCGTGAGTGTGATTGTACCTGTGAGTTGGTATGAATATTTAAGTTTCATGTAATGACTGGATGCTGAATCTGTTGTGGGTAACTGAAACAGAGTAAACAAATGTATGACTTTGCATGCCTTAAATAGATAAGAGGGATTAAAAATAGAGTTAACAAAATTCCTGAAGGTAACAAGTTAATTTATTCAGCTGGTATGCATGATGGCTTCCAAGTTTTATTTCATGGCAGTCATTTGAGATTTGGCTGTGTTGATACATAGTCAGAGTTAGGTGGGCCCCATCACAACTTGCACCAGCAAGTTAATGACAGTCAGTGAAACAATTAACTGGCAGGTGTTCTGTAGGTGGTTGTTTCTGTAGGCCTCCACAACTGTGCATTATTTACTGTAAGGTTTTTACTTTTTATATACAGTATTTTGGTTGATAGTATGTTAACTTAAGATGTTGGTGTTCTTTTTATGCAGCTGGCTAATGTTTGCATACTCTTGTTAATAAAATTTTTCAGAGGTCAAAATTAATCCCTGTCTAACTGGGCTGTATCAGACTGATTGCTGACAGTTTCTCTTAAAAATGAAGTCTCTTTTTGTGTCCTGAACTGGAGTTATCCTAGGTATTGTTTTCATCAAATGTGTCCTAGATACTGCCATATATGTAGTTGTAAACTGAAAAATAAGAGTTAAGTAAATTTAGATACCTGGTGCAGATAACAAGAAGATATTTCACAGATCTGTAGATAAATATCTGATCATTATTCTATATGATCAGATATTTATCTATATCACTATTCTCTGGTGATCAGAATTCCATACTTTTTCTGTTTTATTAAGGACTGTAAGTTATTAGTTTTGCAGGACTTTTAAAAGTTGAGTTGGTTTTTGTTTGTGTGTTGTGGAATTTATTTTTTTAAGCCAGAATGCTAGTACCATCTTTGGAGAGAGCAGAAGCCTTCTTCTATTTTTTTTTCCATTTCTCAATCCGTTCATTGCTCGCTGTGTGGTTGCTGAGTTCACAGCGGCGTTTTGTGGGAAACACGGAACGATTTTTAACACTGTTTTTATTTCTCCTTTTTATAACTCCCTTTTCAGAATTCCCCACTGTACCAATACCTGCAGGATTTGGGACACACAGATTTTGAAGTATGTTCCTCGGTGTCGCAGAAGGCAGAGCAATGTGCAGCTGCAGAAAGCCAAAGGGAGCAGACTCTGAGTGCTGCCCAGAAGGTGAGAACTCTCCTGTCGCTGAGTATTTATCTTCTCACAACAGAACTGCATTGCTTCACAAATAGGAGAAATCAGAACAGAGAGAAGTCAGTTCCTGTATTTAAAAACACAAAGGCAAAAACCCCCAGACAATGAACCTCAGCCCGTTATCATATCTTGAAGTTGTGGTTAATCAATATAGTTTGGAGTGTTTCTTTGCACTTATGTAAGCTGGGGAAGCAAGAAGCTTTGATAAATAATTTTTGAGTGTTGAAAATTATCTTATGTAGTAGATCTTATTATGTTAGCTGAGCATGACATTCTGGGAATAGAACCTGTAATTTTCTAGAACAGAATATTTATAGTTTTCAGCACTTCCCAGGCATTCAGTTGCTAAGTATAGCTTTGTCTGTGACAAAACATATTAAGAAAGAGGATTTCTGGGAAGTAGAAATGCAGTAACCAATCTGAATGAGATATTTGATGTGGATAGCTATTGCATTTCTAATAGGATTGCTTCTATCATTGGTTACAAAGCAAGGCTGAATTTAAATCAGGATTTAGCTCACCATTTTCTTTATTTTCAGCTACCTTTAAAAGTATTTGTGGAAATACTAGGTCTACCACTTTTGCTTTTCAAAATTGTCAGCTGGCACTCACCGTAACCCTCAAGAAACCACCTGAAAATATGTCTTCTCTTTAAAGTTAATGGCTGGTTTGTGGTGTGCTTACACTAAAGATCCATATTCTGACTTAGTGTAGGGAGACTTTGATTAAGTGTTTGTTTATTTATTTATTAAATGTTAACATTTGTTCACTGTTAATTAAAAACCAGGATGACATTTTATTGGTTGACACTTTGTTGTCTACTATGAAGTAATGCATGGACTGTCAACTACATTATTTTGCATAGTTGCTTTTGTGGCAGTCAGAAAATCAGTATTTGTCTATATAATTTCCACTTAATTTCATACAAAAGTGCTGTGGGGTTAAGAACATCAAAAGTATTAATATATACTGCTTTTAAAAACCTCAGGTATTCTGTTTTTTCCCCTCCCTTCCCCTCAAGCATTTTATACTTAATTTTATTGTGTTGGCAGCAATTCATCCAATATTGTGTCAGATGTAGAAGTAATTTTTCATGGTTTGCCTTGCAACTTGAAGGGAGTGGGTGTGTGAAAATGGGCTGTCCATTTCTTACAAACACTATGTGATGTTCACATTGTCTCATCTCTGTCTAGACAAGAATACATAGTAGAAATGAGGAAGAAACCTGTGTGTAATTTTTAGTAATAAATTGTCAGAGGTTCTTCCTGCTGCAATTCCAGTACCAGTTGGGAAGAGTTAACACTTCTCTTTTGTAATTTGATGTCAGAAAGTCTGTTTTTGTCATTTGATTTCTGTGTCCCATTTTGGCAGGGTTTCTCAACGGGAAAGAAAATGAGGGAGAGACAGCTGGCCACACATTTAGAAAAGTAGACTGGATTTAGGAGGATCTGAGGCTTTGTTGCAATTTTTTTATGACGTACAGACAAATAATTTGCATTCCTATCCAGTTATTTCTTCAGTTTTACATAAGACTTTTACCATTTCCCTTCTCTTGGCCTTCACTGGCCTAGTCTACTGAAATGATAAAATATCTGGAAAATAAATGGTTTTTGACTTCTGAATATGTACCTACCCACAGTCGTAATGTAAAATGATCTTCCTTGAGACTTGATGTAACTATGATTACAGGGAGCAGATGCTGTTCCACACTGAGTGTTTCCCAGTATGTGTATATCATTTTCCTTCTGTTCTGAAAAGCAAGTTTCCAAATGCCTTAAACACTTTATTAAAATAAAAATGTAAAAGTTGGGAGTATTGCTTTGGGTTTGAGTTGAGATTGTTTCCTCCTCTTGCGTTCAGTCAAGTGGGAACCCTGTGCGGCTGAAAGCAGGTGACACGCAGCAAGAATTTGGCACAGCAGGGGTCTGCTTTGGGATCTTCAGAGCCTGAAAAAACAAATCTGAGAAGAAAAAGAGGTTCCTAATGACTGATAGAAATATTTCTGTTGTGTCTTGCTGTCCTGCCAAGCAGAGCACGTGGTTCAGGCCTAAGGAAACGCAGAGGCACCAGCTGAATTTGAAGCACATCTTAAATACTTCTCAGGACATGTAGTTTTGGTGGTGGTTTTTTGGCCTTTTTATTAATTGAAATATGGTCTTAATGAACTGTGAATTAAAAAGCTGTAAACATGTTTTAAGATTGTGTTCTAGGGGCTGATGAAATGCCATGCTCCCATCTGAAGTATTATGGAGATGTGATTTAGCATAGTAATTGTAGGTGCAGTGTTCCTGGCTGTGCCAATCTCTGGAGAAAGTTACAGCTATAGTCCTGGTCTCATGATCACTTGATACTCAAAAGCACTGCTAGTAAGAGCTCCTAGACTTGTTTTCTGGAATTAAATCCCATTTGGGTAATTCTGCTTGATCTTTACAGAATTTATCACTTCCCATTTACATCTTTCCTTTCTCAGCTATTTTCCTAGACTGCTGTGCATATCTGAATGTTTAAATTGATTATACTGTCATACCTTGTCCCACCTTAGATATGATGATATTTTGTCATTAGAAGGGAGCTGGTGCTGGAGGCAACTTCTGAGAATTGTGCTGGGGCTAGCCCTGAGTAGCTGTGCAGGTGACCTGATGTGGGAAGGCAGAGGGACCAGTCCTTTGCCTAGGTCTGCCCACACACTTAATGTGAGGTATTCAGTGTGTAGCATTATCTTCTGAAGAAGAATTTCTCTACAAAAGAGAAATAGTCCTTAGAATTTTTTTTTTTTAGATTCAAATTAATTTACCTAAAATGTGCATGTACTATGCTAATATTTTTTAAATGTTAGGAGTTATGCATCTTTATTATTTAGTTTACAGAGTTTGACTGAGTGTTGTTCTAAAGCTGTAAGAATACTCTGGAAGCATTGGCAACATGACCTGACTTGTGTGTTGGTGAAAGTAGTTTTACTTGTCAGTAACACTCCCAATGGGAATGCAGATTGTGAGACACTATTCCAAGGATGTGAATAATTCAATGTGTTGCTGTACTGTGTTGGGTCACAGCCCAAGACAGTGGGTTCTCTTGTTTTGTATTTTCAAGCACTGACTTGCCTGTTGAGTGTTTATGCAAGCTCAGATCTTTATTTTTAAACTAAATCATGGAGATGTAGCATGCTAGATTTTTTTTCAGTAACTCCACAGTCTAGTTTAGTAAGGTGGGTAGCAGTGGAAAACTATCTTTGGTGTAGCTTTAAATGTTCATGATAAAAATCCAAAGACTTACAAAGGCTAAGCAGTTGAAAATGATAGGATTCAAGAGGCATATTCGTAAATTAAATGGATTACTCTTTCCGTACCCTGCTTTCCATGTACAGGCAAAAGTACTTTCCAGTGAAATACCTGTCTGAAATTCAAATGCAGAGCAAGAACTTTGTTCATTTAATTTCAATTTTCTACAAATTGTAATTAGAAAATTTTATTTCCTTTTGCACTGCTCTGCAAGAAACTTGAAGGATGATCTTGTGCTGCAGTTAGTGACATTCTTCTGACTTATGTCATTGCCCTTGAGCAACATCAAAATACAATCACTTGGATTTATTCCATAGTCTTAAGTGTGAATTGCTGGGATAGCTCCTCCTACTGAGCCACAATGATGTCAGTGTTTCGGGAAGAGCTCTAATTATCAGATCCCTGTTACTGGTTTGCCTCTTCACTGACCTAAAAACACTTCCTTGTGGCATAGATCTCAAAATCTAAATGTACACAGAAAGATGAGACATTTGTAAAGAAAAGCTTGAGTTAGATTACTTAAATGGGCACCAAAATAAGTTATTTCAAAAATGGTTGAAGCATAAGGGCTTTAGGGTGACAGTTCCTGATGTTAAGGCTGTTGTGCCCTGCCTTGCTGCACCAGACTGGTGGCACTGCCTTTCAGAAGGCTGCCAGGCTGATCACAGGTTAACTACAGAACTCTGAGCTCTCCTGCTGCTTGGGTTTGTTCCTCTATTTCCCACTTGTAGTTAGGGGGAAAACCAAGAAAATACAAACAAGAAGGGAACAAAAATGGAAAAAAAAAAAAAAAACAAAAAAAAACAAACACTATTTAGAAACAGAAGCTGTCACCTTTTATACATGGAGCTATTAGAATCTGTATGTTTTTTTTTTATTATTATTTTGAAACAGTATGCCACAAAATGTAAGCACTTCACAATTAATTTTTTTTGACATACATTTTACCTGATTGTATTACATGTCAACAGTCTGAAGACTGAGACAGGGCCTCAGAATTAATGAAATATATATAACTAAATATTTTGAAAAATGCTTCCTGTCAGTTCAGTCTGAGGAAGGTAGATAGAATGGTGTGTCAAAAGCTGTGCTTTTTTGTTCTGAATGCCTGCAGACTTAAGCAAAACCATGCATCTATTCAATTATAATCTGTCATGCATCTTGTTTTAGGAAGATACATGAGTAGAATGTGTGATGACTGAGAGGGAGTCCCTCTGTTAGTGGCATCTGAAGTTCATTTACAGCTCAGACAAAAGTGTGGATTTAGGTTGTGTGGAAAGCAACACAAAGTACCTGCTGGTGCACACTGGTGTGGACAGGGAGTTTTTGGGGCATTTCCTCCTCTTACCATCACTCTTTCTGTCTCTGTTTACAGCTCCTCTGGAGTTGTGCTCAGGCTGCAGTGGGCTGCTGAGGAGAGGTTGTCCCTGTTCTGGTCTTTCACTTCTCTTCAGCCTGTCAGTCATTTAACCTTTGGGCTTTTATCCCCCAGGAGAGAGAAAGTCTTTCATATCAATGCAGTAGCTGCCAACTTGAGATCAATATAATCTTAGCTGTAGTTATTTTTAACAGAACAACATAACAATCCATTATGCTCCAAATAGGTGGGGTTACTGAAGGTTTTATTTTATTCTCCTGTCCACAAGGAAACTGACGGGAAGCAGATGGTCTCTTAGTGTACTCTGAAGTTAGGCCAGACACAGTAAGTGAAACTTCCTTACAGGTACTTGGGTCTGAATTAACAAGAAAATCAAATGCAGAAGTAAAGGATTTGTCTGCTGTTATTTATTTAACTTTGGCTTTGGTTTTTGGTTTGCTTTTTTAAATTGGAATAATTTCTGTTCCTTTCAGCAAGGCATCCTGTCAAAACTAGTTGAGTTTTTTAGAAGCTGGTTTCCTTTTCCACAGTATAAGAAAAACGATGACATACTTCACCGACTGGTAAGTGATCACTTTTTTTATTTTTCCATTTCCTTTCCTAATCCACAGGTCTTCCTCTCCTCCATATCTCATCCTCTGAACATCTTCTTTGGTCTGTATTGTTTGTTTTGGCTCTAAGAGTATTATTTATTCTTTAGATGATACTAATTCTGGTTTTCAGTTACTGTGCCAGACTGGGCACAAAAGGACAGGAACAGTATCAGTAGCCAGGTTAAAGATGTTCAAAATGTGGAAGATAATAAAATATGTGAGAAATTTAAGAAATTATTGAAAGCTGAAATGAGTTTAATTGCAGTGTTGGTACCCCGTTGGTGGAAGGCAGTGGGGAGATGTTGACCATGTGTTACAGCCTAGTGCCTCGTAGAGACCACTAAGACAGAAGGTTCTAGAGCTTCAGCTTGCTATTGCTTCACTCTCTGCTTCAGCTTGTTAGCTCAGGCACAGCACCACCACAGTGCAGCTTTACTGCCCCTGGACCCATCCTGGCCTCTTTGTTTCTACACTGCTCTCTACAGGGCTTCTGCTTTTGGGAAAGGCAAAGCAAACTTTGTTTGGTCTTTCTCTGCAGCACCACTTTCCAGTCTGGGCTTGTCTCAGATCTGCTTTAACTTGTACCCAGCTCCTTCATGCTCCTAGTATAGCTTGCAAATGTCACTTCAGACCGTTCCAGAATCTAGAATTTTGATTTGTTTTTTTCTACTACAATGTAGGGATGATGGCTTCAAATGGAGCTTCAAAAGAAAATGCTGAGCAACATGAGAAGTTAGAATTTTCCATTTCTCACAGAGTTCTGCTGTATCTCAGTTCTTCTTTATCTCAGGAGGACATAATTTCCTCTGAAAATCTCTCATTAGTGATCTTTGATTGACTTTTTTCTTCCTCCCTCTTCCCCTATGAATTGAGGGTATTATCTTAACAGCAATTTTTAGCCTTACTTTCTTGAGATGGAGGCATAACTGAAGAACATGGAAAACATGTTTGTCCGGCTGCATACTCCAGTAGAGTATTGAAATGACACAGGATGCGTCGGAGGAGGGCAGAGTTTCCTCTTGCACATAGTCCTGAGACAAATGTTTTCCATTAAATGTAGAATGAAAGTTATCTGAGGTGACATCTGTGCATGGAATTAAATTTCTAAACTAGCTATCTTATGGTTTCATAAAGAATCTCATTCTGTCAGTGACAGAATGAAACAGATTTTGTACTGTGAAATGTCACACTTGTGTTAAAAGTTTCTATTAGAGACTTTTCAGAAATATTCTCTTTTCTCTCCTGTAATTAGCTAAATTCAGGGATGCACATGTTCAGTGTTTTTTGGGTTTTGTTATGACATTCTTAACTTTAAGTAATTATGGTTTGGTGCAGTATGCAAATAAAAATTTCAGGGGGCTTCTCTGATGGCTGTATTTGTCTTCATGAGCTCCATATTTGTCTTCAAGAGCTGTAGTTGGGGCAAAAGTAGCAAATGCTAATGGCATCAAATTTGCAACTGTGTAACTCCCCAAAGCTTGCCTGAGGTTTAGCATGTGGGAGGTCTTCGGAGCCCCATGCTGTTTCATGTTTGGATGGAGTTCCCTTGGGAAAGGTACAGAATCCTGCAGGGGGGTACTCCCTGCCTTGGCTCGGGGTGTCAATCTAGTGCACTGTTATTAGGTGTCCTCAAGTGACGTTTGTTGACTAATTAGCAATATCTCTCTTTCTCTAAGTTTCATTTGTTAATGACATAAATGATGTCATGGCATTTAAAAAAAACTATTTTCAGTTTTTTGAATGATCGTCTAATAGATTCAGTACCTCTCTTTTTCTTATGCAAATACAGTGGCATAATCTGTGGCGTGTTTCCAGTTATTGTTACTGTCTGGGTCAGATCACAAAGTCAGTGTGATGTATCCTGTAAGCCCAAACTCTTAGGTAGTGTGTGAGCTTTAAAAGTAAAACAAGTGTAATAAAAAAGTAGCTACTTGTGATATATCTGAAACATTTCCCTGCTCTGGGAACAGATTGTTGTCAGTCAAGTGTAGGGTGTGTGGGTGTTTGCCTTATTCTGCTAACTTAATTTTAAGAATTTGCATATTCTTTACTAATGCCTGTTTTTTCTCCTGCCCATTTGTATGTGGTAAGGATGTTGGATTTCGATATGACACGCTCCGTACCATCCTGCAACAGGAAGTTCTGCTGCAGGAGGATGTGGAACTGATTGAATTCCTTGACCCCAGTATCCTGTCTGCAGGGCAGTGTAAGCAACAGGAAAACAGACAGCTTCCAACACTACGCTCCCTAGCAACTCCTAATATTTGGTATTGTATTGAGGATATCTACCATTATAGTCACTGAGAAACAAGCAAAAAATATATTGTGCATTCTTGATATAAAATACAACATTAAAGTAACTATATTTTTGCTCACATCCTTGGGGCTTTATTCTACTGGTCCCCAGATTTTTGAATAAGCATGTTTTTTCCATTGGGTATTTTATTGAAAGAGTGAATTTTAATCTGGGGTAACTACATGAATATGAATGAATACTCCCTAACTAATATATTCTATAAGGAGGAACTAACATAGCTGATTAATTCATTAATTTCTGAAGCTATGTAGAGGTGATTTTGATAACGAGACATGAGTGTGAAGACTGAATTGAAAAGTGTTTATTTTGGTGTGGTCTTTATAAAATATGTTGTGTGTGGGGCAGCAGTATCTGAACAGCTACCACCTGTATTTAAAAAATAACAATGCCACTGGTTGTTCTGACAGTATCTTGCTTGGAAATGTGGTAATCAGTAGGAAGAAATATCATGTAATATGGACCAGTGCTATTTTCTCATATATACACTAAAAAAGTAGACAAAATTATAGAGTCACACCTCAACTGTTTAAGCTGTGTTAATATTGATGCTCTGTCAAACAAGAGAACTTTTGAACCAGATGTTTCAGGTCCTAGCATTATTCAGTTTCTTTAACTTTCAGCTGATAAAGTACACTTACAAAATTTGTGAATGTTGTTCAGCTTCCAGATGACATCAAGTTTTTGTTTTCATAGACCAGAGGTCAACAGTAGCTTGGAGAAATACCCTGAAAATGATAGAAAATTCAGTAAAGATAAAAGTTTAATGCTACACTTGGGAAGGAAAAGTCAAGAAACACCAAGTGATGAATAATTGGGTATGCTGTACTACTCCAGGAAAGGATCTGCATATCTCTGGGATGGAATAGTGTTATGATATGTAGAAGGTGGTGATCAGTCATCATTTGTTCTGTTCAGAAAAGGGAAGCATAAGAGGAAGAATAATGCAATTAATCTGCCAGTGATTCAAACTGGGACTTGGGGGAAGTCTTTTGAACTCTAAGGATACTTAGGAGTTGGAATAGCCATGACATGGGTTGTGGAGTCTCCGTTTTCATCTTTGGTCTGTCCATGATGATCTGGGTTAACTCACCAGAAACTGAAAATGAACAAAGTGAGCTGTTAAATCCCTTCTAGTCTTTCATTGTTGTGATTTGATTTATTTTAATCGTGGGACTTTATTTTTTAATGTACCAAGGAAGTTAGAGACTGTGTGTCTGTCCCTTTCAGAGGTAGGTACATATTTGGCATATTTTAACCCTGGATTTTTACTGAAACCTATCAGTAGCCACTAGCCCTAAAGAGTTAACACTTGTAAAGCTGGTTGAAATTTGACCACAAAACTGTCCAGGAAACAGAAACCCAGAGATGGTGTCTTATTTTAGAAATGGAAAAATATTCCAAGTCTATACTTCCAAACCTAAATGCGGGATACACAGCTCTAAGGGGTAAAGGAAAAAAATGTTTTTCATTGAAAACATTCTGGAAAAGTATAGTTGTAGTGCACCTTGAAGCTGGTATCCCATCCATCTCTCTGAAGAGTGTGATTATTTTACAAAACCGTGTAATAATATACATGAAACACAGTGTATTTTCTAGCAGTTACTTATATTTATGTTGAATTTTTATAGCGGAAAGTAACAACTTTATAGGCTTTTAAAATATCTTTGAGAAGTAACTGAGATACTAGGAAATCTATTCTTTAAGGATTTTCAAAAGGTGCCAAACTTTTTTAAAAGACTATTCAAGCCATCTTTATAAAATTGTGTTAGAAACTAGTGGTGCATTGGAGTCCAAGTTAAATGAGTCACACTCTAGAAAAAATACAGCTGGCACTAATTGAGGAATTTGCTACCAAAAGAAACATGCCCTTCCCTACTGTACTCTTGAACCTGGAAGTACAGATATTACAGTTCCTACACGCCCTGGTTTATAATGCTGAGTAGTCATGTTTTTTTCTTTTTTTTTTTCATTTTCTTTTCTATTTTTTTAAAGTCATGTAAATGTGTAAGAGAAACTAACCTTTCAAAGTGGTAAATTACTCTCCTATTCGTGCTGTAAAAAAGCTGAAGAAAGGTTTCCTTAGAGTTCACCAGCCAAGTAATATCATGTACGTATTCATACAAACCTGTCACAAGGGGTAGTCTTCAGTGTTTACAGCTCCCTTCAGGACCTACATAAAAGCCCCACAAGTAAGCTCTTGCAATCTCCAATGTAACTGAAAAGTTGGTAATTTTCCCAGCTGTTTGCCCTCAGTAATGTGTGGTTGGTGGTACTGTCTCTTCGCAGGGATGTCTCGCTGTTCCTTGCCTTTGTAAGTGCGCTGCTCGTGTTTCCTTCGTGGTGGAAGGAATCCTCATGGCTGCTGTGCGGACCCGTGCTGCTCCTCTATGCAGCCTCTAGGGCGTGCGGCACGTGGAGGACAGCCAGGCTGCAAATGTCCCTGCGAAAATACTCTATCCAGCTGGAAGAAACAGTGGCCAACAGCCGGGCCTTTACTAATCTCGTGAGGAAAGCACTACGACTCATTCAAGAGACTGAAGTGATTTCCAGAGGATTTACCCTGTGAGTCTGTATTTCGCTTTACTTAATGCACAGATCCGTACAAACCAGCTGTCATCTAAAATTGTCCTGTTACATCGTCTCCCATAACAGGTGGAATTACTGAAAAACATAATACTTAAAGGTTTTAATTCACATGAAGTAGTATAATTATGATTCGTACTAGAAGTATGAATTCTAACAACTCAATGTTAAAACCCCACATCCTGAAGGTGAATTAAGTCTCACAAAACTCATGTGCCTTTGAAATGTTCTGCATTGCTACCAATGAAATATATAAACAAATGGACTTTGAACTAAGTTAACTATTTTGGAGAGACATTTAGAGTTTTTTATCTTACATTACCAAATTCATGTAAATAAACTGATCTGCAAGTAATCACTCATATTTTACAAAACAGAATGACATGAAAACCATTCTATTTTTATTTAACAAACATGTCTAAAGTAGTGAGAACACAGTAACCAGCAAAAACCAAATATTATTTCCCACTTCAAGTAAAGTTAACATTAGTCTTTTTTTCTTGCATACAGTGTTGAAACATTTATATTCTTAAATTATTTACTGTTGAATTTGCCTCTCTTCCACTTAAGGGATGCAAAAATGTTTCTGATTATTTAGCTCTTGTAGTTATTGGATAAGTTTTGCTGATTTTCTGTGTGAAAGGACATCAGAAAGTGTTCGGTGTATTCCAAAGCCCACAGGCCTGTTTCTGTGCACTCTCATTGCCGTGGATGCTTGCGCATTGTAACCACCTACGATGAATCCATGTGTGCCAGTTCTGCTGAAGGCTAAAGGAGGTGGGAAACACCAACACCTAAAATACAGCCAACTTCTTTCTAAAAAAAAATCAGAAGTTCCCTTCTGGGCAACAAGATGTTTATCCGTGCCAGACCAACTATTCTACATTCAGACACACGTTCTTACATGCAAGTGTGCAACTTTAGACTTAAAATTCTGGATTAATTTTTTTAGCTTGAGGTACCTTCAGTGTATTTCAATGAAGAAATGTTTCATTCTCCTTTGGAATGCATAAGCATGTCTTCAGTCTGCCTAGCTATGTGTTTTTTGTTTTGGTCTGGATTTTTGCTGAAGAAGCATATACTTGAGCAATAGGCAGTCTTATCTTTGCAAACGGGTTCTTAAAAGAAATTATTGTTCAGGCTTGTCCAAATTACAGATGAGAAAAACATTTGGAATTTTGCCTAAGTTTAAGCAAACGAACTTGTGGTCAATGTCTAAATTGCTGCTGCCTTGTTCTTTTACTACATATCTTAGATAACAGATTAACAAAAAACAGACTGGTCTTTAAGCTGATGCTTGATCTAATAGCTTCTTTACTTGAAACTTTGGCAAGCTTTTCAAAAGACTTGGGTATATGGATGGAGTGGGAGAAGTTTGACTGTGCCAGCATCCTCACTGGAACAACTGTACAGTATAAAGAAGTCAGTTTTGGGTTGCTTTAGCCTAGAGGAACTTCTAAATCCAGAGTGTCTTTTCCTGCATCCACATGTGCAAGAGATGCTGCTGCACACAGCAGTGTGAAATTCTTTGCTTTGGTTACTTCTTTGAGTATGATCCAAAATGCTAGTTTTCCCTTTTTTTTCCCTAGAATTTTCTACAGTAAACCACCAGAACAAAGTTTAGTATTTTCTCCTGTATAAGGTTATCAAATCTTAGTGCTTTTTTAGAAGGAGTCTCATGGCAATAGAAATGGTTCATTTGAGAAGTTACTGAGTATCCTCTTGTATTATTTTACATCCTTGAAGGAATGAGATTTCAATGAGGTGCAGCATCCTGGTCTCTGTGCAGCTGTTTTAAGGTACTGCTGATTCAGCATAGGCCTGTGCATTGACCATATTGTGAGTGGAAAGATACTGAAGCTGTTATTTAAATAGTGCCAAGTTCAGACTTTGTCTGGTTGTACTTAGCCAAACTCTGACAGGGCAAGTCTAGGTCTGCAGTTTTGGCCTGAAGTCCTCATACTCCACTGCTGGTTTTCCTCCCCATAACACCATCCATTGCTGTTCTCATAGGCTACTTTACACATCCATTGAAGTATCTATGGCTTTGCTTTATTCTACCCTATTTGCTCCTTATTAATTGATACTGGACTGTCTCTGTAAGTGGGAGATTATTACTGATGAGGTTTTGGTCAGTTCTCTATAGGTTAAATGGTTTATTACTGTGTGGTAGTGCCTGCTATACATAGTCAAACATCCTTTGGCTTTCATTCCCCTCCCAGTAAAACTGACTGCAGCCACAGGAACTAGAAAAGGAATTAGATCAGGAACTAAGAACTTGAGCAGGGAGCTTGGATTAGATGGCCTCCAGTGATCCCTTCCAATCTTAACTATTCTGTGATTCTGTAATCCTGTCAGGCTTCTCTTACATTAGCTGCTCTCAAAGACAGCTTGATACTCTGATTCCAGCATGGCCTTTGGGAGTATTTAATGCTCTGCTGGAATCTCAGGTGCATCTGTGTGGTACCAGCTCTGTGATGCAGAGATGGCCAAGACCTCACCTGGGTGGCTTGGATTACAGAAATTGTGTAGCAAAGGTAGGGCAGTGCTGTACTCAGGCAGAAGGGCAGTATTTCTGTCTAATTGCTTCATTTGCAATTAGCCAAATGAAGCCTGATCACAGGTTGCAGCCTGCAATTTCTGGAGGGTAATGAAAGTATGCTCATTGTCTTGCACATCATAAAACAAGAACTGAAGGAATACACAATGAAAGGCTGCAGCAGTAAGCAGCAAGTGTTTATTCCCTTGCTTGTCACCAAAATAATTAACTTATTTTCCGAAATGCTCCCTTTTTACTGTATTTTAAACTTTAATTAAGCTCTATGAACTTAATGCATATGGATATATATTAGCATCTTTAGAAAACTGTTTTCATGGTGGAGTGCAGTAATAGATTTTTATTAATGTGTTTATATAAACTTGTTCAAAGTTGAAAGCCAATTTAAGATTTGGCTTGTAAAATTAATGTAGAAAATATGTTGTTGTTCCATACAGTAAAATGGGTTTGGAGCTGTAGGAAAGGGGAAATTCACACTCAAATTTTCTTTGCTTCTTGCTACTTGTGGCTGATAGGCAAAACTGATAGCATCTAAGTCCAATTAAATACATAGAGGATAAGAGAGAGACTTTTTACAAGGGTGTGTGGTGATAGGGCAAGGGGGAATGGCTTTAAACTGAAATAGGTCAGGTTTAGATTAGATATTAGGACCAAAATTATTGACTGTGAGGGTGGTGGGACACAGGAACAGATTGTTCAGAGAAGTGGTGACTTACCCATCCCTGAAAGTGTTCAGGGCCAGGCTGTATGGGACTTTGAGGAGCCTGGTGGAAGGTGTACCTGCCCGTGTCCCTGCCCATGGCAGGGGGTTTGGAATTAGAGGATCTTCATGTTCCCTTCCAACCAAAACCATTCTGTGATCTGTGAAGATAAATGAAACACTAGGAATTTAGGGGTATGACATACCTGACAGAAAAACATATAATAGATTCTACTAATTAAATTAGTCAAATAAGGAATAATTTTTTTATAAAAAGCACTGAAACAATCCATTCCAGAAGGAAAGCAGATTATTTTGCTGAATACTGGCAGTACATGCTGTGCATGAGTTATGCTACATTTGTTCTCTATAGGAGTTGGAAAAGTCTGCATCACTGTAGTAGAACATAGATCCCTGTCTATTTTATGGTAGAAGAATTTTGCTCCTTTTCTTTGAGCTTTCTTCTGATAATTCACATGGGCTTAGGTCTACAAACTAATGTGAGAGTTTATACATAAACACTTCCAGTTGTTACTTCCAAAAGCTAGGGAAGGGTTAGAGATTGGCATGTACTCCATTACATGCTGTGTTCCCTAGTGAAAGATACAGCAAGGCTAGCATTTTAAATTTACATTTAGAAATGGAAGTAAACACAGTTTGGTTTTTATTTTTTTGAAATTGTAAAGTCATTTATGAGATGTTATATAAACCATTTTAATAACACATAATTTAAAATGGTATGCAGATATTTTATATTGTATTTCAGCTAGCATATTCAATATATGGCAATATTTGGCATGAATCTGCTTGTGTTAATGGTGTTAAACACACTGATATATGGTTCCAGCCTTGCTCACTGGGTGGGCTGCTCTGGTTTTCATATCTGATAGTGAAGGCCACAAGCTATTTCCCCTCCCAGTCAATGTGCAGCATGGTTCAGTGAAGCACACGGAGTAGGACTGACCTTTTCCCAGCAGTGTCAGTCTGCTGACTTGGTCAGCTTTTTAGTCACATGGACTACTGAAATAGTTACCAATGCAGCAACCCACCTCAGGCTTACCAGGTACCCTGTGTGCTTTTCCCTTTTAAGTGGCTGCACATGAAATCACCTCTTCACTCTGCCCTGGGAAGGGTGAGAGCAGAAGCAGGCTTCCAGTCCCCAAACAATTAGCCACAACTGACTGTCCTGTTGTCCAGACCATGTTCATTCCTGAGCTGATTCTAGTAAAAACAGGCCCAGCAAGTAGAGTGCACCGAGGCTGTTTCCAGAGTCTCAGTCACAGGTTTGACATCAGATTGTGTATGAGAAGATACAGCTGGAGCTTAAAGATCCACAGACCTGTTCAGTCTTCACCCAGATCACAATTCATTTTATTTCTAGACGAGGTGATTTCTTACAGTGCTAAAGCCAATGTGAATTATATTCTAATAGGCAAATGGCATTGTTTCTTTTAAATGGTATATTCACCTGAATAGCCAGACACCAAATGTATTTTCTTATGTGCTTGTGTAGTGTATCCATGTCATGTGTTTACCTGTCAAGACTCTCACAAACACAGCTGCCATTCATTGCATGATGATAAAATCTATGTCACCTCTCAAATAATATTTTTCTTCACCTAGAAAACGTTCTGCATTAGAAAGGTCAAAAGAATATGGTGTTTTGTATGGAAAGCTATGTGTTGGCACCTTTTTTCTGCAAAAATTATTGAAAAAATAAATTTGGGTATAAAGAGGTATATGTTGAATACATGTTTATTAAAACTTTCCAAGCTGACAGTGGGCTTGTAATAGTTTTGTATCCTGATTGAGATAATGTTATGGCATGTCTGCCATTACTGTGCCATTTTGGAAAATTTTAGAGAAAATAAATGTGTTCAGGAGTTTTGCCACGGCTCAGATGAGAATAAATTAAGGCTATTTACTGAGGAATCCTGGCTGCTGTCTGAAATTTTGATTAAATATATCATTGATATGATCAAGGTTTAGTCCCATAGTTACTGAGTGATTTGAAAAAGCTTTCCAAATAATGAAATAGGAAAACTGATGTACTGTTCTTTAAAAATACTTTAGGACATCTGTACAGTTGTATCACATTTTACTTTTCAAGTTTGCTTGACAGGGTCAGTGCCGCTTGCCCATTTAATAAAGCTGGACAGCATCCTAGCCAGCACCTGATCGGCCTGCGCAAAGCCGTGTATCGATCCGTCAGAGCCAACTTCCGCGCTGCAAGACTGGCTACTCTGTACATGCTGAAAAAATATCCTTCCTGTAAAAACACACCAGCTCAGGTAGTCCGTGTTGCCTACTTGCACTTGGGCCAATGTTGAGTCAGGATGTCTAGAAATACACAGTATTTAATTAGGTATCTAAACAAGGGAAAGAAAAGGTAGCTTAGTAAATTGGGGCTTGCGTTTGGTTTGGAACATGCGTAAAATTTGCCTTTTTGTGTACTGTGCAGTGTGATGAGATAAGATTCAATGCACTGAAAACATTGTATCATTATTGACACCCATGCTTTGGTGTAAGTGCTGATGATGTGTTTCAGAGGCCTTCAAGATTTTGTTTTATAATTCCTCTTCTTTGAACAATATGGCCTTTCATTCGACATCCCTGTGTTCAAAGGTAAGTTGGTTTTCTCCTACCAAATTAACTGCAGCAAATTAAGCTTTTCTGTTAATGTATATCTCACATATGGTAGAAGGAGATCAGTCTGATGAACCTATGACAGAGAATTAAAAATTTTAGGTCACAGCTTTATTCATGGTGATACAAATTGCATAAACTTGATATGTTTTCATTCTCACTTCTATTCAGTAGAACTAGAAGTTTAGCAGTATTTGCTTGTGGCTAGTGTACACTCTTTTAGTTAGACAGCTGCCTTCAATGAGTACAGTTAAATAATTTTGCCCTGATTGAAATTTGTTCCCATGTAGAAGAGAAAATATGCAGTGAAATTTTTAGCCTTATACAAGGCAGTTGTGTCAAACTTGGTAGACCAGTGACTTAGTGAGAGGGAAAGTCATATTGCTTGCATTTTGTGTGGAGAGACAGTTGGGTACTAGCAGAAACAACTCAGCATTTGCTCACACCATTCTTACTCTGATTTGTTCATGTCAGCAAGAGTGCATTGCTCAAAATCACAGAACAAAATGCCATAGAAAAGAGTATTTCTCTTTTAATTCAGAATCTAAGGTTATAGCAGGATGCAATGGCTGAAAGCCTCAACTAGAAATTAGGCACTTTGGGTTAAGTATTTACAGGATGTCGTGCAGACCAGTTCAAAAGCTCTCTGCACTGTCCTCCACTGAATTGTGTGGTGACTCAGGCAGTGCTTCCCTCGGCATGCTAGCTGCTTAAACTTTTATTCTTAAGAGCCTTGTGGGTTCTGCATCATGGGAATCTGATGTAGTTATATACAAGCTGGACGGAGGAAATCTTGTAGCTTATGTTATTGGCCGATGTTAATAATCTCATCCTCAGCTGATTCAGAATGGTCTGATTTGAACTATTTTGATAGGTAGGACTTGGGCATTGGACCACATAAACTTTAAAAGCTTGGATTTTGTTGTGAGGTGATGTTCTTTGCTGTCAAGGCATAAATAGTGTTATTTTTTTTTTAGTGATAGAACCAGACGTTGGATAGTAGTATTTTAAACTGAGTGATGTCTTACCCTATTAGAATGGAATGCATATAAAATGCCTTCTGTGTCTTTGAGATGCACTGGGCACATTTGCAAATTTCCTGTAGTAAATCTCATAAAAACTTGTTGCTTCTACTCTGTAAAGGTTTAGTTATTGCATCATGAACTGTTAGAAAAACCCGTACCTAGGTAACTAGGGAGAGGGAAAGTTCATGCAAGAAAACAAGTAAACAAAAAGTAGTACCCTCTTGAGATTATAAAATCCTAAATTGCCATGCTGAAATATCTGAGTAGAGACACTTGGGCGTTTTTCAGCGCTGTGTTTCTTCCTTGACCAGCCAGTTCATCACATGCTTAGCTCACCTGGTGAGCAGGTGAGAATTTAAGGAAGAGCAGGTTGGATTTCCCAGGAATCCTGTGAGAATCTCCTGTTAGATGTTCAGATGGGAATGTGCTTTTGAAGACTAAAGTATGAATGTTAAATTGTTACTTACAGGGATACATTCGCATTCTTGTTTTTCTGTAGGTAAATAAGAGTGTCTCACATGATACGCGCTTACATTCACTGTACAGGCATTTTATTCTGGATTTCACAGTTCATTATTAAGTAGCATTGCCTTCTCTTCTTTCAAGCTAATAAGGCATGTAAGTTAGATAGATGGATGAAATATTTTCACAGAGACATGGAAAAATTTAACTAATCTGTTAGGCTTTAGTATTTTGGCTTTAACAGAAGTCAGTAGGGCTAAAAATACTACAAGATCAAAGTGCATGAAGGAAGTGTGTTCCTGTATATAATGGTGTGTATATGTTTAAACTTTCTAAATGTTTGATTCTTAGGAAGATAATGGGGGCATGGGATCAGTTCTCTGCTCATCTGTCAGATAGAAATGGGAGTGGAAGGGCTGCAGTAGAGGAGGGCAAGGCAGGAGGTGCAGGAGGCCACAGGGAATCCCTGGCTGAGACACAGCATGGGTAAGTGGCTCCTTGGTCAAACCTCACATTTGAGATGTTGCCTGGAATTTATTTTTAGCATGACTTAGGAATCCATGTGTGTCCAAATTGCCTTTTGTGGTGTTCATACTGTTGGAAATGCCATGTTGCAGGAAAAGGCTAACAAGGAGTACAAGTAGTTTCTAAAATTACTGGTCCTGAAGCCATTTGACCTGACTTTTCAATTTCTGACATCCTCATCCTATGTGCTCCCTCTGCTGGGCATGCTGTCAGGTTAATTTAGAGTAGACATCATTTATATGAGGCAGCTGCTGGTGACAACAGTAATATTCTGATCCTAATTAATTTACATTGCAGGGTTTTGTTTGAACACTTAATAGGCTTCTTCCTTTCCAGACATTAGGAATAAAGTAGGGAGAAATGTGGTTTTTTAGATCCTGGACACTTTGCTTTACTGTTTCCTGGGACACAGAATATTACTTTTTCCTGCAATGTTCTTCTGCTTAACTGGTAAAAGTCTCTTGAGCAAATCAGTTTTGCAAGTTAAATCCTCTGAGAATTTAGCACATGGAAAATTTGGGTGTGAAAGTGGATGGAACTCGTAGCTTCCCCCAGAAAACACATTAGATGGATAAGAGACAAGTGCTTCTAATTGGCTTTGTGTGCAAGAGATGAGAGCATTCAGTTTCTAGATCAAACTATAAATGAAAAACAAATATATTAAATTAAGACCATATTTTCATTAATGCTTTACAAATATATATATATATTTCTGTGGAACCGATGTGATTTTGCACTTATGGGCATAAGTTTACATTTCTGTTTTAAATGAATTTTACTATTTTGTGACTGGGTAACTGTCAGAAAACATGCAAAAATCTGGAACTGTTCCTCCCCAGCCTGAGGTTATCCTAGAATTAGTGCTATTTTAAAATAAATGCTGCCCTAGTCTATGAATTATTTTTTCTCTTTTCTGGTATCAGTTCTATTGGGCTTGCTTCCTACTTTTTAAGCATTTTTGATGACTAGAAATGTATATTTTCCTACTGAGATTTTAATTGTGCTGAATGGTGTTGATAGATACCAGTTTGCCACTCATCCTGCCAAAATCATAATGTCTTTACAGTGATGTAATCAATAAAGTTAATGGTATGACACAGTCAGGGAGCTCCTGTTTTTACAGAGCTCTCTGAAATGTTAGACTTTTTACGTAAAGACCTCTGAGCAGTCCATCCACAGACAGACCTCTCAGCTAATTCACATCATGAGTTTAGTCTATAACACAGGCTACCTTTAAAATTTAAAATTGCACAATTGTTCTCTTTCCTCTGTTAATTTCTGGTTTAAGATTGACATGAACTATCTCTTGGAAACTCAATATTTAAAAGTAAGCTGTTTCACTCATTCAAACGGGATGCAGGGATTTTTCATCAATCTACTTTGTTTGTTTTTATGTGTTTTTATTTTGACATAGGTGTTTTGTCAGTTTCTTATCTCCCATCCTTCAAAGAGCTTTTAAAACTTGCGCTTCAAATAAGGATTGCGAAAGAGGATTCAGGTGGATTTGGGATGAAAGTATGTGATTTCATAAAAATTGCCTGGAATGAGAAACCTTATTAAGTATTTGTTTCATTTTCTGTATGTTTAATGCAAAAAGTGGCTTTGTTTACCACCTTAACTCCAGCTAAACTTACCCTCTGAACTCGGAGAGTGACAACGTGACCAGCTACATCTGTGTGGTCCCCTTTAAGGAGCTGGGTCTGGGACTGAGTGAAGAGCAGGTCTCTGAAGAGGAGGCACACAATCTGACTGATGGCTTCAGCTTGCCTGCACTCAAGGTAAGTTCTCCTAGAAGGGCTTAATACATCCATGCAGGCTCCTGGTGAAAATCTTTCTCTTGTCATGAAGTCCTGTGGCTTGTACATCCTAGCCTGTAGCAACACACTGAATTGAGGGTAAGGTGTAATCAGTCAGGCTCTTATCATGTGTTTCTACATTTATCAGCATTCACCTGATTTCTTTGTGCATGTAGAGAAAGAGAAGTTACTCAATACAACATTAGGATATTTTTCTGCAAGTCATGGAAGTTCAAGTCAGTGTTCTATAATCAGTTTGATCAACCCCTTAAACATGATTTTTTGCTCTCTGATTTCACCTGATCCCAGCTGAATAAAATAATTTATGTATTTGTACTTAATTAATTTTTTATCAAATCTCTTGATGTGAGTAAAAAGAGACACATCAAAAATCACAAATTAGTTGTAAATGCCAAAGGGAGTAGCTGCATTTAGTCACAATGAGGAGCAGAAATCATAAGCTTGGACCCCTGCTGCCATGAGCCAGTGTGGTTCTTTGATCTTTGCAAAACTTTTAACTGAACAGAGTGACAACCGTATAATGGCCTTTTTATCTATTTTGTTTTGAGATGTTAGGGTTTTTTTATTTACGTGAGTCAATTGGAAGGAAGATCTAATTTGAATGCAAGCCTTCTATTCTCTAATGACCCTCTGCTAGGGCAGTTCCCCTTTAGCATTGTCTTTTTTAATGGAAAATTCCATTATTATATGACTTCTGTGTTTCTCTGGGGTTGGCTTTTGTTGCATTTTTTCTCTTAATTTATAGACCTTGACTTCTTTTGTTCTGACAGTAAATTCTACCAGTAATAGTGATTACTAAGCTTTGAGGCTTTGTCTAATTAGCTTTAAGCTAAGAGCTACAATAAATAGCAGCTTTTGGGATTTTTCTTCTTGCATTTCATTAGCAGAAGTTCTAATTGCAACCATGTAAGCCTGCTAATTTACCCACTTGTTTTTAAGCACAAGAAGCCAGACAGAAGTGCCCAAGCTTGTAAGCTAAGCCTTTGTTTACCTGCAACTTGCAGTAATTTAACTGAACTCTGTTTTAGTTAAACTGGTTAGGATGCTTTCTGGTTACAGTTACATTTACAACTAGTAAATCTCAATTTATGGTAACTCATAACAGCCAGCAATGTAGGCTGGGTGTGGTATAGCTGAACCAAGCTAAATTAACATACATCAGTCCTAAGCAGATTCCTGTGTAGGTATAATATACTTTGATAACCTCGGGACATATTTGTGTGGTGAGCCTTGGATGTATGTGCAGACCTCAGGAGTTTTTCTTCCCCTTTGAGAGAATTTGTCTTTCTATTAAAATGCAGGTCATGCTAAGCCATATGACAAATGTAGCATGTGTCTTTTGGCTACCTTGTCCTTGAAGTAAAGCAGTTTAAAGAGTGAAAATTTTTCACTTAAGAAAACAATTCCCAGTTTAAGCTGAGGAAAGGTGGATATTTTGTGTCAGCAAAGATCATCAGTAGTTATTGGCAGAGCAAGCTGCTTGCAAGCATAAATACATCTGGAATTTCCTTTTCTCTTGTCATTGTGCTTTTTTCAGGTAGGTTCTTGATTATTATTATCAGTTCCTGAAGTCCACTATTTCTGTGTGCTACTTTTTTACTGCCTGTGATTTATGTCTGGTGGAAGGGATTGGTCTTCTTTTGTGCTTATTACAGCATGAGCTTTTGATTTTTTTATCCAGGGCACCACACGTTCAGAGACACTTGAGTGATTGCTGCTCATTTGTTTGCTTTGTATTTTTGCACCCAGCCAAATCAGTCTTGCATGTGTACCCCAAATTAATTTCATGTCATTCATGTATTCTTTTTTCTCATGAGCATCTTTTGTAAATTGAGATTTCTTTTTTTCTTTTGAAATACTTTCTCAGTTTGCATCCAAGTATTTTTGACATGATGAGTCAATGTTTTGTCTTCCTTGGTCTGGAATGCTTGTGAACAATTTTCAGTCTGCACCTCATAATCACCTACAGCTGATCCCTTTTAATAGGGGCCATTATTCCAGAGAGAAGTATCATAACCTTTCCTTTTCATTTTAGACATAAAAGGTGCTGCTGTACTGTCATGATCTACTGAGCAAACTTCTCTAAACTAAGAAAACAGTTCTTTCATTGGAAGCGGAAATTCTCAAGACATTGAAATTTTGGACTGCCTTGCTCCCAGATGGACTGGCCTCTTTTGTACCATATGTGACATTGTGAACCAATCCATTTCTTAAAAGCCTTTCCTTCCTTAGTAGTATTGGTGGAATTTCTTACTTTGGCTGAAAAAAGAAAAAAGTTAGCAGCTCAACTTTCTTCAGATGTAGAATATTTTTTTGTTGAGTACAGTGCAATTAGGCTCATGTTTCAAGGTTGGGTGTGGGGCAATGCAGTAGTTATTAGATTGTAGAAATGACAGCTTGGCCTTATAAAGGGAAAAATGTCTTTGCTGCCGCTGGAATTTTGGCAGCCCTTTACGAGCTCTAGGGTATGCGGAGATTATAGCAAATAATGAAACTGGCCGACGGGAATATGAGGTTCGGGACTCTGACAACTTTATGAGCGTAATTGCGTTTAATATCCTTCATCAAGGAATTAACAGTCACCTAAGGTTCACAAGATCTGAACCTCACGTGCTCTGGAATACCCTTCAAAAACAGTCAGCGGATTTTTGCAGTTTTTCCAAGTTCCCGTTGCCGGCCAAGGAGTGTTTTCCCATGGTGTATCTGTACATTTACTTTGGAAGCTGACCGCCTTCCCAGGTGCACAAGCTAACCCTACCCTGTTTTGCAGGTCCTCTTTCAGCTGTGGGTAGGGCAGAGTTCAGAATTTTTCAGGAGGCTGGCGCTGCTGCTGTCCCCGGCCAACGCGTGCCCCGAGCCCTCGGCGTCCCCGGAGCGGCTGCCTCACCACATCCTGCGCGACGTGAGCCAGGGCCTCCCTCACACGCACGCCGCCTGCCTGGCGGAGCTCAGGAGGAGCTACGAGTTCTACCGCTACTTCGAAACGCAGCACCAGGCGGGCTTGCAGTGGCCAGCCAGGAGCAAGCAGCAGTGCAGGGAGCTGAACAGTCTGCAGACGGCGGTGCGCAGCTTGCAGCTGCATCTCAAGGCCCTGCTCAATGAGTACGTTTACACATGAATAACAGAGTATGCAGGAGGCTTTGGATTTGAAGTTCTTTGGGTTGTCAGCTTGTATCCCCAAGTAAAAGCAAAAAAGTCTTTGCAGTCACAGCCGTGTTTTTACATAGTATGGGCTCAAAGATCCTTGGTTTACTATGGAATCTGATATTTTTTCTGGGTATTCTTTGAGTTTGTGGTGAAAACTTTAAGATAAGCAGCACTAAGATTTTGCCTTGCTTCTGTGACTCCCTTATAAAAATATGAAAACATAATTATCTTCCATTGATTTTTATGCTTTATAAGAACATTCAGCTCATAGTAACTAACTAGTAAATATCCTTAAAGATTTGTCACTGCCTTGGTGAAACAGTTGAGACTGTCCTACTCCTTTAATCTTATATATAAGGATTACTATAACTATTGCAGGTAAACAATGTATCTTGATGTAGGAAAAAATATTTTAATTTTAAAATTTTGGGGCATCTTTGAGGAACTGACTGAGGTGGGTTCTTAAAACTTGAAGGAAATAACAGTATATTACATTAAATAATTGAAAGAATGGTGAAATATTTATTATTACTTACTGCTGTTTGCCTCCTCATTACTTAGGGTAATAATTCTTGAGGATGAGCTTGAAAAGCTTGTTAGCACTAAGGAGACATCCGAGTTGACAACAGAAGCCCATCAGGTTCTGGAACAAAAACTGAAGTTTATTCAGCCTCATATCCAGGCAAGCAACAGCTGCTGGGAAGAAGCCATTTCTCAGGTGGAAAAAATGAGTGGAAGAAACCCAAATAAAAAAGGTAAATGTGAGAGATTAAATTTAGGAGCTAATGGGATACACTTCAGAGATGAAACGGTCAAATGAATCAGTGACAGTGTTCAGCCTGTGTATCAGAATTTCAGCTGAAGAAGGTCTTAAAACCATACACTTTGAAAAACTGTGTCCTTACATCAGACTTTTCCATTGTGATGGCCTTGAAGCTTTTGTTTCAGCAAAATATGCCACCATGTTAACTCAGTCTGTTAGACCTGTGGATTCAGATGGTTACATTTTCAGGGGTAGACTCATCATGGCTTTTTACCTTTGATGGGTGAATCACCTGTGAAGGGGGAGGATTTTAATGAATCGCCTTCAAGATCTTCATTGATTTACTGCATTAAAATGATGCCATTAATTGAAATGATAATGACATTGTCATGAAACTTTTTTGACAATCACATTTCCTGGAACATTTCAAATCATGGAGCACATGTTAAGCATACAATATCCATTTACCTCCTCTCCCAAAGAGAGTGAGCTAACCTTTGGTGTTCTTAAAAGTCTTTGTGAGCAGCATATCCCAGCATTTTGTTTCTTGTCCCTCTCATTAGGGATCTGTACTGCCCATGCTGTTCTTGTGAAGCATAACCAGCTTAAATAACTGAAGTGAACTTAGGCTCTCCTGACATAGAATTGAACCTGCAATTTCTAATCTTTCATTTTTTCCAGGAGCATTTTTACTGTCCTAGGAAGGCACAGCCCAGCATCTGAAAAATGCTGGTAATGGAGACTGCACTAGGAAAATTGTCAGGGGGAACTTAGGGTATCAGCAAGTTACCTACAGAAATCCAAATCTGAAGCGCACTCTGCTCTTAATGATGTATGGGTGGAATATCCAGTAGATGGATAAATATTGCTGTGGGCCTAGAGGCAGGCAGGCCAAGCTTGTTCATGCTTACATCAGAACTGGGAGCACTGGGAGGCTTCTTGGAGGCTCTGTGCAGGTCCAGACATGGTATAAACAAACTCCTGTACTTTGCCTGATAGTGCAGTCTTACAGCTTCCCCCTCAGTGTAAAACAGCCTGTGAGGATGTTAGATGTAGCCTGATATATTTGCATGTGTTGACCTGTTGTGTTTTGTTGACACCATCCACAACCTGCAGTTCCACTGATCTTTCTCCCCTTTCCTTAAAAGTTCTTTCTAGACGACACACCATAGTATTTTTAGTTATTTTAGTTTTATTTTTACTTTGTGTATAAATTTCACAGCAGGCGTTTTTATTATAACTTGCTTCCTTTTAAAGTTCAGTGCAAAAATAACCTTGTGTGTGATCTAGAAGGAAGGGATTGCGTGGGAAATAAAAAATATAATAATCCTTCACTTTAGCCCACTGGCTTTCCTGGAAATGTGCTGGGTTTGAACCTCTATTTTGCAACAAGTTTACTGAACTAATCTACAGGAGCTACTTTAAATTATTTTGGTCATTGAAAACTATATTTATCTGACAACATTTGACTTTCCTGATATATTTCTAAGCCATCCAGCTCCTACGAGTTGACCCTGTCAAGCTGTACATGAAATCAAGTTCCATTCTTTTGCTGTCTTCCTACAGATTTTAACAGCTGGTCTGTCAGTCATGTTATGTACATTACTTCAATAAATTCTCTTCTTTTTTTCAATACTTTCTGAAAACTCTTTGGAGAAGATGCTTTCCTGTTGAATAAATATAACAGCTCAGCACAGCTTTTACATTTATGCATTACTATCCAAAACTAAATCAGTCTTTTGACAAGAGCTGTTTCAAGAACCCCACGGGCTTAGAGCATTTTGTCTAAGTGGATGCTGAGCACTTCTGCTGCAATAGATACTTAGTTCAACTAACTAGTTCAGCCAGTAGAGCATCTGTATAAAAGCAGTACATGCTTCTTGCCCTGAATCATTATATGTCAGAGCTGGTTTCTTACAGGTACGTTAAACAGCCAAAGCAAAGCCTTTCAGAATCACAGCCTCCTGTCAGCCTGTCATTGGTGGTGACACCAGCATGCATCTTATATTTTAGCATACAGGTCCTTCAGGGAATGCACTTTGGCTTCTTCCTTTACACGATTTGGTGTATTTCTAGAATCAGTGCCTTTAGTTACTCACTGATCCTGTCAGGTACAGAGCAGAGCCTCAGAACAAGTGGGACTTGCACATTGAAGCACATTTCTACTCACTGATCCTGTCAGGTGATCAGGCTCTGCTCCTCACAGAGCAGAGCCTCAGAACAAGTGGGACTTGCACATTGAAGCACATTTAAGGGAGATCACCTCTATTTAAATTCCTTGGGCAATGATGGACCTGTCTATTATTCATCTACATGTACATCTTTGCTCATTTCCTAGAACTTTCAGCTTCTTTATTCTTTCACATTTTTTTCATCACTAATAAAATGTATCACTTAAAGATTCAACAATTTAAGCATGTAGTAATCTACTGCTAATATTACGGAATGGAGTACTCTTTATGGCTAGTTACAGCATTGTATTAATGATCTTTGAAACAATGGCCCTCAAACTGTTTAAATTCTATCCTTTTTCATTTTAAACCATCTTTGCAAATGTACACAACTTTTTTAGATATTTATAAGAGCAAGGCTATGGTACTCTGCTGGAATCTCGCCATCCCTACGTGTTCAGTGTATAGATTAGAAATGGAAAATAGGGTTAGGTGGAGCTTGGCAACCCATTTCCCTTCTCAAGGTAAATCAGTATTTGTGAGTAAATGCTGTTTACGTCGTCTTAAAAATCTCTCTTTAGAGACATTTTACAGTATTTCCAGGCATCTATTCCAGCACTTAATTCCATTATCAGTAGAATGTTATTACTGAATAGAAGTACTTCTTGCTGCAATTTAAAAGCAGTACTTCTGATCCACCCACAATGGAAATCCATTCCTCTTGATGGTTTTTACGTTCTCAAAGATTATTATTACGCTTCTTTCTGTCTTCTCTACATGACTCCCTATGCTTCAGCTCTTTCCTGATGACTATACTTTATTTAGTCCTCTTTATAATTTCCAGTGTTTTCCTCTATGTTCCCTCTAGTTGGCCCACTGTGTTACTGAATGAAGGGGCCCCAGACTGGGCACTATGTTCCATCCACAGCCCAATCAGTGCCAGAGTAGAAATGTTATTTCATATGTCTAACATATTGCTTGTATGTGCTAGTTTGTAGTTTGGCTTTTTGCTTGCAGTGGGGTAGAGCTGATGGTGAGGCTCCTCACCTCTTTCTCAGTGGTGCTCCCCAGTCAGTTCTGATGCATTTGTGCATTTGGCTATTCCAAAGCACAGAAGTTTGCAGCCATTGTCACCAAACTGCTGGGTCTGAAATTCATTTCTACCTGGGTTGTACCTCTGATTTTCCAATATTATTTTTTATTCTAGTGGTGCCCTTCAGTGTTCTTGCAGATTATCCCCAAATCAGCAGATTTAATGAGATGCAACACCTCTCTTTCACCCATTGGCAATATTGGAGAGTATTGGACTTGAGACAAATCCTCACTCAATGTATTCCAGTCTGAAAATGGTAATCATGCTGTAATGATCCAAGAAGCTGTTCTATGCACTTAATAGCAACTTTTCCTGGCCTTTGCATTTTCCTTATAAAGATGTCATGACGCCATGTCAAAAGTCTTTCTGAAAACAAAATGCAGGATGTCTTTGGTTCTTTCTATACGCGAGACCTGTTACTGCATTGCAAAATTAACATCTTCTATTTTCAACAAATCCACACTGGCTGTTATTTGTCTCCTTGCTACCTTGCAAATACCTTCCTGTAAACTTTCCTTAATTATTTCTTCCAATATTTTCCAGTCATTTGAAGCTGTTTTACCTATAATTTTTTCTAAACTTCCGAAGAAAATCTCTTCTCTGGTTTTACTGATCTTGCTTGCCATCTGCAGGTTTTCAAAGTCTATAAAATTTCTGAGATTTGTTAGTTGAAGTGTTTCAGCACAAGTTCCATTGGATCCAGCTTCTATAAAAACAGCCAAGTTACTTAAGTGCTGTCTAACAGTGTTTCAGTGTAACCTAACCACCCTTCTCACCATTTTTTTCATGTATGCAAATCCTGCTTATGAAAATACCTGGACCCTGCCTGAGTGAGTCAGAAACATCCAATACTCAATTTTATTTCTTTTAAATCCCTTTTCTTTTTTCCCCTAAAGGCAAAATTGAAGTTTCCTGTGACAACCTACAGCATACTGCAGTACCTTTAACACAGCCTGCCATATACATAGAAAACAAAGATCCAATCCCTGAAGAGCAGGTAAAAAAAAAAAAAGGGATAATTTAAAACACATTTTAAATAACAATTGGGGATTATTTGCTGCATCCATTCTTTTTTTCAGTTGCTTGTGCAGTGACCTTGTTGTCTTGCTGAGACAGACAAGTGGCCAGTACCACTTCAAAATTGGACTTGTGGAAAAAGTTGTGTACATTCCGTTTGCTGTTCCATGGGGAGCTATTCCCCATCCTGGAAAAAAGAGCACTAGTATTCATTTCTCATAAATATGATTAGAAATGAGTGACCAAAGGAGAGCAGCAACACAAGAGTAATAAAAAGTGAGAATTGCTAAAAGACAGTATATGAAATAGTCCTACTCTTGCTGGATAAACAGACACAGCTGCAAAAGTGACAACTCAAGCACAAATCATCCTGCCTTCAGTTTGCTTAGTCTTTGCATTTTTGGATATCTTTTTCCTGTAACACTGAATAATTTTGTGTTGTTTGAGGAACTCCGGGGTGATGGATGGGCTGTCTTAGAGTGGTGGGCTTCCTCCATCCCAGAAGTGAATGGCAGATGCATTCTGAAAGCACAGTGAACACCCATGCTCTGCTCTGTCCCTCCCTTGCTTCTCCCCCACATGTATTCTCTCTAGCTGTTTTTCCATATCAAAAAGCTGGGGCTAATTACTTTATTGAAAATTTGTTATAATATAAATGCTGCTCTGGTTTTTTATGCTTGTAATCCAATAGATTTAAAATTGGCAGAGAAGTTTGCTATTCTCTATATCACTTAATAAGGATTTATGTAAGTTAAATTACCAAGATGCATGACTACCAAGAACTGGTTACAGTGTAAATTAAAAAAAAAAAAAAAAAAACCCTACATCAGCATTGCTTATTTCCACCTGTAATTACAGAGAAATGGTCTCCCATTTTCAAGGTATATCACTTAATCCTATTTGTGTATGAAGGTAAATCTCGATAGTGAGTGGACTTGCTCCAAAATCGTACAGATACTACCAAGAGCAGGGTCAGGTCCACTGGCTCTGCTCAAACAGGGCTCCATCCTATTACTGTGGTTGGTTTGTGTTGGCATCACTTGATCATGAATCAGATTGTAGGATTGAGTGCACCTGACAGTGAAGATCAAGAGTTTCTTCCTTCCTTTCTTTAGGAACTGGAAGCATATGTTGATTATTCAGATACAGATAATGAATACAAAAGGGAAGATTTTTTCTGCTTCTCCCAAGAAGAAAGAGAGAGGCAAGAGCGAGAGAGACAGGAATCTAAGAGGGTGTTACAAGAATTGAAATCTGTACTGGGATTCAAAGCTTCAGAAATTGAAAGGCAGAAGTGGAAACAGCTACTATTCAGTGAACATGGTAAGCATTTTTTTGAAAATTAATTCCTTCGTTAAAAAACATGGGTGTCTGTTTGCCATGAATTTCTGACTGTTGGAATTCAGACAGTGCTTAGCTGTAGTAGTGTCTTTGATAGAGCTGTGTGGTCTTAGTTGCCATTCCATCTTTTTATAGTTTAGCAATCATTTTACTATATATTGAAATGAACTCGTAGAAGTGAGAATTTGGCTTTAAACAAAACACTGAGCTAAAATATTAAATACACAAAAATATTAAGACATAAAGAAAGCTGTCAGGATATAAACCATGCAGATTGAACTGACTTTCTTTCATGGCTTTCCAGTAAATAATGAATTTTTATCAGGGTACATAAATAAATTACTTTTCAGAATTTAAAGAAACCAGCAGAAAAATTATCCTGGACGTACAAAAGTATATAGGTTAAACTGAAGAGCTAGACTTTTAAATACTAGAGAAATAACTGGCTTTTGCTTCCATGAGGAGTGAATACAGAATATGTTCACAAAAAAAAACCAACAAAAAAAACAAAAAACAAAAAAAACAACAAAACAACAACAACAAAAACAAAACAAACAAACAAACAAAAAAAAAAAAAAAAAAAACACAAACCACCTAAGAAGACGAGTTCTTTCAAATTAGCCTTTACTAATTTTGAAGACTGCTGAGTATCTCCATTCATTTGCACTTGAAAGCAGGATATGAAAATTTCTCTTGCCTTAACAAGACAACTTGTCTGTTAAAATTTGATTCCTCTCACTGCTTGAGCTATTTGATCTACCCTCTTTAAAATTGGCAGGAGTTTCTTTTCCTTTTTCTTATTTTCATTTCTTCTTCTTAAAGACAGATTAGGAAAAGCTTTCTAAAAAGTTCCATGTTCTGTGTTATGCAAAACAACCCTCAAGTCTGGCACCATGTCCAAGGATTCTGCCTCTGACAGTGTCTTCCAGAAAAATGACCATGGATTGCAAATTTTCGGTAATTTACTAGGAACACAAAGTAACAGACCAGACCATACCTATTTGTGAGAGTGTCTCTTTTGATATCAAACTATCAAAAATATCTGGTTTTAGCAATTTTTTTCCTTATATCCATAAAGCTACAGCTGTGGTAAAAGAGATCACTTGACCATCCAATAGGTACTGATTTCTCTTCTAGTTGCATTAGAAACCTGAGACATCAAATTGCACCAGAGTTTCCTCAGGAGTAGGATTTCTGTATTTCTGTTAGATAAAACACCACACAACTCTTCACATAAATTTCTTCAAGTCTTCATTTCCTAACTGCTGGAGGAAGAAGTGATCCTACCTCCAGCTCAAGTCTTCATAGACCTAGTGAAACTCTTGCAGAAAGAGTTTGTCAGGAGAACCTGCCTAGGACATTTCCTTACCTAAGCAGATAATACTTGGCCTGAGCAGGTAATACATATCAGCATATCCTCAGGCCATCTATGGCCATAGCTGGGAAGAGTCAACTCACTCCTGTAGTTTGCAGTAACTCTTCACCAGAAAGCCTTTGTGGCTCATGTTGGTTCTTTTTCCTTTCCTATTACATTGGTTTAGGATGAGAGATGAAAGGGTGAGGAGGGAAGAAAGTATGATTTTCTCCAGCTGCATAGGAGTAATCATAGATTATTTCCATCCTGTACACACGTGGAAAACATGAGGGCACTTCAAGAAAGTAGTTAATATTGTCTTCTGTTGGCTCAGACTGTGTGTGTCTGACCTGACAGACTGATATGTACACCTGATATAACATCTTCTACTGTTTTTTAAGAAAATCCTTCACTATTTCTTCAAAAGAAGCACAAGTCAGTAAATATGATATCATGGTGCAATTTATCCATACACAAGTCAGTCCTTAAGGAGGCATTTATGTGATCTGCACTTTCTACATTTCTGACTTGCCTTATCTTGAAGATTGAAACCCAGAAAGGTTCATATTCTTGTCTCCATTGCCCAAGCCAATGGATGGCCATTATACCACTTTTCCATAGTCCTCTTGAATCTTGCTTTTACAGGACAATCAAATTCCAGAAATCCTGTGTTTTCCTAACTTGTGATTATTGTGGAAAAAGATCCTGAAATATTCAAAGGCTTTAATCTGTTAGTGAAGGCACCCAGCTAGCCATTCTGACTTGTCCTAACAAAGACATGAGGGTTTTTGATTCATTTAAGGAGGGGTGAGGGTTTCCACATAATAGGTCAGCTCCAAACAAGCTGATACGTCTTAGGAGCACAGCATGAAGTCAATTGGAGGTGATAGGTTGGATTCCAGAAGAAAATAATATCATCTTAGCAGAGCACTAGACTAAAGGAAGTTTTCCAAGGCCCAGTACCATGGTAATACTTCTTACAGTTTGGGTAATAGGTAGTTTATGGGAGTGTAGGTGAGCCTATGTTTCTGGTCCTTTGGCCTTCTGTTGAGCCACTACATGGAAGTGCTTTTAAAAGGTCTGCTAAGTTTTTAGTAGCTTCATTTCCATTTGTCAAACACTGTAAAACAACTCTCTTCTGCTGCAGAATCACTTCTAGCCTTTCCCTAACCTCTCCCCTGAAAAAAAATTCATTCTGTCGGTGGTTGTGTTGTATCCAGCTGTTTTCCCTTCTCCCACCTTGTCCATACAACAGTTGTTATATAGCTATTTATCAGATTTGGAAAGCCATACTCTCAAAACTGATGAATTTCACCCTGTTTATTAATTTGTAAACTCCACAAATTGGCCAGCTACCAATCTCAAGTGTTTTGGGTTTTTTTGAGAAATTTTTTCTTTCAAAGTATTCTTTGGAGGAAGTAGGCAAGAAGTTTGCTCCCAAATGATAAGATTACTGTGCATATTCCTGTCTCTTCAAGCAAATGTGGAGAAATAAGTAGCAACATCTTTTTTCCAAGACAGGGAAAGAACTACTCCATAAACAACTGAGACGAGTCTGATGCAGTGCTCCTTTGATAGATAAGGTTTTAAAGCAAACAGTACAATACCATTCAATGCCACATTCTTTCAGTGTGCTAATGACAATAGTTATCAATGTGACAACCATAACAATGTGCCTGCCTTCAGCTAGCTAAAGTTAATATTACTGAAATAGGATGCAGTTGAAAAATCCTAATACCGTAAATTTTGCTTCCCATGAAAAGTTTGTGTATTTCCCAGAGTTATTTTCATCTCTGCTTGCAGGGGTAAAGTCAGAATGGAATTAGAAAGGGAAATGCAACTTGGGAATCTGCTGTTGCCGGTCTCATTTATGTTCGTGCTGCTACTATAATGGAGCTGCTGCAGTTAATTTAGGGAATCTGTTACTTGGAAATGGACATTATATCATTTTCTTAAAATGAAAGCCGCCTGTTCTTCAAGGAGTGATTGTACCGAGTTACACTAACCCTTAACACTGGGAGGAGAGACTTCCTGGCAAGCATCCCGTTGCTGGCAATGGGACTCGCTGCTGCTACTAACTTCAAGAGAGGCTAAACTAAACCACACTTTATTTGTGAGGACACCTGACCTGACTGTGTGGATATGTGTTGTATTTGTATGTTGTGCTCTATGAGATAAGATATTGCCTATAAGGACTTTTTCATATACCAGCTGTCTTTAGTAGATTAGGTAAACTATTGTTCACAAGAACACAATTAAATCTGTATGCACTACAGTGGTTTTACTTGGGTTTTGCTTTAACACTGAATATATCCTCTGTGTTTGATGCTGGCTTTAAACACCACAATTTTGTGCTGTCTCTTCACATCACAGATTTTAAGGAAGAGTTACAAGTAGCCTTCACATTTCACTTCAGCTTTGTGATTAGAAAACACTCCTTAAGTTTTGGTGTGGGTTGTGTTTCTGTTGTTTTCGGATATTTAAAGTAATTTTAAACCTTATAATCTTGCATCTTTTCAGGCAAATAAATTATTTATATATAGCAGCTCACTTTGAGTTATCATTTAATTTTTTCCCCCTTTTTAAGCTGCAGTGAAACCCTTGTCTCCTGTAGAGCCATTGAAGCTACTAAATAATGTGGAATCACATATGAATTCAGATACAGAAAAGCAGGACTGCAGCCAAAGTTGTGATAAATCTGAAGAAAAAGACTCTAATCCAGAAGTGAATGCTGCTGATAAAAGCAGGACAGAATATTTGTACGAAGATCCTGAGATGGAGAAAAACAAAGACAGTATTACAGATAAAGATGTTTCTACGGGGGCTGAAGAAAGAATGTATTATCAGTGTGAAGGGAATGCTGAAGAGCTCAAGCCAAGCAGTGTGGACGGAGTAGAGGCTTCACAGCCTCCCTCTAAGGATGCATTACATTCAAAAATCAAGGATAGGCTGGCCCAGCTCCACATATCAACAGATTTTAACTTCACATCTGGTCTGGCTGCACAAGTTGCTGCCAGGTCTTTCACTTTTACTACAATGCAGGAAGAGACTTTTGGAGATGATGGGGAGGAGGAGGAGGAGGAAGAAGAAAAGACACAGGAGAATGAAGACCTTGTGGAGAACTGTGAAAATGAAGAGAGAGGCTCTGAAAGTGAAGGAAAAGTATAAGTCTGAGCTGAACTTTATTAAACTAACAGCAGGCAGTTTGATGAAAAAGAACTAAGGTGGGGGGTTGAAGGTGAAAATACTGGATGGAAAAAAAAGGAGAACTAAATATAATACATCATGTTCCCTAAGACTGATACACTAAATAGGACTTCTAAGTATATTGAAAATTTGCAGGTAAGAGAAGTTTGGGCTGCATCCAAGAAATAGATGGCTGTCCCTTTTTAAGATCCTAGTGACAGGGGTTGGAATTTACCTTTGTGTTTTCTGTTTTATTTATTTATATTATGACATATTGTAGTTTTTTGTTTCTAAAAAAAAGGAAAAACAATGTTTTCATTTACAACAGACTCCATTTTTTTGCTCTCTGATTCTTTTGTCATGGTATCAATGTTTGTTCCAACAAAAACAGCCAGGACATTTCTTTTGGAAGAACCTGAACTGTTCCCTGTGGTCTTCCCCCACCACTTTTGTTTCACTTCTTGTGTCTGCAGTGTGTTGGCTAAGCCATGATAGGTATTTGTGATTCTGCAACTAGTGATGTGGCACCCAGCTAAAATGTAGAATTTTAAATAAAAACTTGAAAGAGCTAGTATTTCATGTGTCCTGGGGTATGGGGCTGAAATAGTATAAAGTTAGTCATGCTACATATTAAGGTTTATTTAGAATTTTATGAAGGGTTAATAAATGATGTCCATAAATTGTAATTCATGTTAGAGAAATATGTTTTAAGTAAATTTTAGGGAAGGTTATAAGCACACCAGTGGAAAGTACTATAGATAGCTAGAAGCTATCTGTTGGATTGACAGAGGTGAGAAGTAAACACCTATTTATTAAGCCAGCTATTAATTGTTTGTTAACCTTTTGTAAACTGAACCTTAATGTAATTGTTTGATTTGATAAAATGACCGATTGTACATTTTTGCTTATGTCCTGAAGTAATTTTCTTAAAGGAAAGAGAGCTTAACAACATGCAGTGTCTTGTTTGAACACCATACTTGCTTCTCTCTAATGTTCTTTCACTTTTCCTGAGATCACAACTTTAACCTGTGGGATTAAGAATCCATGAGAGAATTACAGTTGTGTATTTTTTTTATTTTAAGTTAGTTAACTGATGATGAAGTCTGGATGTTTGGTATGAGGTTATGCCAGTTGCTTTTTTCTCTGTAGTGGTGTTAGAAGGAGCAGGAAACTGATGCTCACAGAGGAGCTGGTTAATGGTTTCATTACCCTCTCTTCCTTTTACTCTCTGACACAAAATGAAGCAAAGCTCCCATGTCTCTAATGGCGAGAGCACCACTTCTTTGTGTGGAATACTCTGCTTGGACCCAGATACACTTCCAGGACAAAACACTGCATCAGTTACTTAGAGTATTTATGGCGTTTTGCAGATTCTATAGAGTAAAAGGCTTTTTAAATGCTGGTGGTGCAGAGCAATATCTTTCCTAGGATGGCATCATGGAGAGCGGGGAAGGTAACACCGGTCAGCAGGTTAGGGTGGAACTCTTGACAGTATGTCAGAAAACAAGTGTTTTCTTTCAACACCCTGGCCTGTATTAGTGATTTTGCATGAACACTGTGAAATATGTGGACTTTTTCACGGATGGTAAAGAGGGAAATTGATAGAGAAGGGAGTATGACTTACAGTGTTCTTTCACTGTATAATGCCTGTCTTCTCCCTCACACACAGGTTCTGGGAAGAGAACGTGTTGCTGTTTTTCATTGACCAGTAACACTGTGTTCTGTGTCCTTTATTTTGTGCAAGTGACTGGAAGCTGAGTGGTTACTGTCTTAAGGAGGTTGTAGAAAAAAAAAAAGATGATTTTCATAGTGAATTCAGAAGATAAGCCTCCTCTTAGTGGTAGAGTATATTCTTCTATAACTAAAGATTAGGCTAAGATGATGAAACACTTTTATTTTCTCTGTGGTAAGCAATTTTTTTTACCAAGTCTAGAACAGCTGCTTTGGATAGATTGTGTTTGAAGCATTGTCCATGCTTCTGAAGAAGTCTTCCTCATTCTTGACTTGAGATCCTCACAAAGTGCCCAGATATTTTTTGTTCCTAGCTGATTGTTCTGACAGCCTAAATGTATCTTCCATCAGTATTTTTCCATGAATTCATCCACCATCATCTGATGTTGTGTATCCCAGAAAGGTACTCCTGACCTTTTTCTATGGGATCCAAATCATAGTTTACAATATGTATGGCTATGACACCAACCTGGAAAAATAATCAGATTTAGGATATTAATTATCACTGTGCTCACAGTTTCAGATGAAGTCAGTAGTTGCATTGGTACTGGAATCAGTGACAGATCTCACATTTATAAAAGCTGCTATCTCTATTCCTTTGCTGTAGTTCTTAGTAAAAATCCTGGAGGATCTACTTTGGTGGCTCTCTTAGGGTCCAGTTTTACTATATGCTGGTCTTGGTAGTGAAACTGGCCTAAAAAGCCCCATCCATCATGAGTTGTTCATTTTCATCCAGAAGATGTGTCAACACGGGGTTTTGTGTCCATGTTATAAACAAGTCCATGAGTCCACCCAGGTGAAAAATTCACCCTTTTTAGGCTTTTTTGATTTTCACCATTCTTATTGCAGTGATGCAGTAACAGCAGTTATCTCAAAACAGCTGTATTAGCACGTGTTGCTGGCCTGAGACTCAGGATTGCCCACATTTACATTATTGGCAAAGATGGTGTAGTGTGAAATTACAGCCTTGACATTAGACATGGCTATGATCAAACAACGACTTTTTGGAGGAAGTCTTGATCCTACTTTGAACAAATAGATTTTCTACAAGCAATTTAACTGATTTCCACGGTCTTAGAAGTTGCCCATATGAACACCTGGACTCACTTGTTTTCTCTGCCTCTCATCACCTCTGTATAAAATAGCTGTCAGGTCATTTATTTTGATCTATTTAATATTCTCCCTGAAGAAAAATACTGCTAACAGTGTACAGCGCACAAAGCCTGACTTCTCTTGATTTGATAACCAGGTTCCATCTATGTATGTCATACACTCTGTTATGATCCAGATTTCCTCATAATTATGTCATTTGAAATGACTGTATATACATGCTGTAGGTTTCTTCACGAACCTGACAGATTTCTTTGCATAATTTATTGCTGCCTTTAAAATAATGTTTATGAACACACTGAAGTGTGCATTAGCTCTAATGAGTTGTCTTAATATATTGAGCATGTCAAGGTCTGAGTTCAGTTCTGTGTTCTTTGGCTCATTACCTGAGATAGGGATTTTTGTGAAAACAGAACATTTGCTTCTTAGAGCTTTGTAACTTTTTGAAACATTTAGTAGGAAGTCCATACTAAATTATGGGTTATGACAAAGAATATCAGCAGCCAAAATCCTTTGTGAAGAGCAGAGCTAACAATAAATGCTTTTTCCCTATCCCATTTCCAATTAGTAGTTCTGTGAAGTAAAGAAACAAGTCATTATATAGGGTTAAATAATTTCTTCTCCTTCTACCTGGAAAGCACTCCAAAGACAATATTTGCTTCTTGGTTTGGATTGCAGTTTAACACTACATCTTTTTATATCACTTCATTTTACAGCTAAAGATCTAGGTAAAAGCTTAAATCTAGGCAAAGATCTGTGATAAGTAGGTAACTTGTCCCTTTTGTTAAGTGTATGTATTCATGACAGAAATTAAATGGTTGTGTCATGGAAGCAAATGTAGAGAGTTACAGGTAATAGAGCATCTTCCAAATGCAGTTAAATGTGCCTCTGTCAACTACAGGCAAGATTTGCAAATGTGAAGGTTTCTGCCATCAGTCATAGAAATGAGACAGTTTTACTCCCAGCAGAGGATTGCTGGACATCACTGAATCTTGCCCTTAGATTTTTAAATGCAAGATGGAATCTGGTAGAGTAGCCAGTTTTACTGAGATTTCAGACTTTGTCCTGAGCACACCTGTCTCCATGTGACTGTTACAATATTGGAAACTTTATGTTTTTTCAGAAGTGCAAAATTTGCAACTTTCTCATTAATTTATATGGTGGACTATGTGGAGTTGTTTGTGCACACTGAATTCTGTAATCTTGTAGATTATCCCTTTCTTCTTTTTTTCCTTTTTTTTTTAAGAAACAAGAGGACAAGTACACCTAAACTGCCCTTGACCTTTAAACTGTTTTGTGAAGGGCCGCTGTAGCTGGGCAAGTGGCTTGCTCCGAGGGCTAATTGCTTTTTAGAATTAACAGGTTTCATACTATCTCACCTGAGCAGAGTGTGAGAATGGCACTTGGTCAGTGTAAAGGGCCAGGCTGCTTTGGGATCTTGTCTGTGACAGGGACTAAACAGATGCTGAGGGAAGACTATTGTGTGGTGATACTTCTCCAGGCTATTCCTCAGCAATTTGTGGCTCAGGGACTTCTTGACCCAGTAGTGGTGGATGTCAGCTTAACAGGTTCTGATGGAATCCTTCTCCATAGATTTGCTCAGCCTCATGTTTGATTCCTAGTTCCAGTGCCAGTATGTGATCATCTTTACGTCACCATTACTGTCTTGTACACACGAGAAGATTTCTCAATAAACTTCTTTGGTGTTCTACTTTTCTCAGTCCTTCTGCAGAAGTTACGTTTTCTGCCTTTTGTTTGCTTTCCTCACAAATCTCTCCAGTTCTGGATGTATAATGACCAAAGTGTGGTGCAGTACTCCAGACTAACCTCAGCGGTACAGAGTAATAATCACCTCCCATAAAACACCAAACCATTCAAATATATTTGAGTCCATATAGAAAGAAAAATCCTTTTAGATCTTTTAGCCGTAGCTGTTAGGATGGAAAATGAAAATGTTTGGTCTGATGGAGGAGAAATATTTATTCACTGTCAGCGGGATTTGGCTGGACAATGTTTTTCTTTGCTAACAAAACAAAAAGTTGTTAAAACAAAATGATCTCCCAACATCTGCCACCTGGTCTAACACAAACTAAAGATGCCAAACAACACTTGTTTAAATTTCAATTTGACTTTTCAGAGCTTTTTTTGTCTCTGATGCAAAATATTTTATCACACAAGAAACACGGCAGTGGACATATGAATATCAGAGATCAAACAAAAGGCCTCTCAACCAAAGGCTAATTTTTAAAATGCTTGGTGGTGTGCTTTATTCATTTTCTCATTATATTTAATTCCCTCCTGTATATGTGTTTATTTTGCCACCTGGGATTTTAAGTGCTGAAAGATACATTTGATTTATTCGACTTGGAAATTTGTGCAGAAATGAGATAAGAGGTAATGGTAGTGTGTGGTAAGACACAGTCATAGCAAGGGGTGAAATCTACCTCCCATGAACTTTCCTTTCTAGGTGGATAAAGCAATGTGGCTTGAGCTGCAGCTGGATATGAAACTGTTCTTGATGTGCTGCCTTCCCTTTCACACTGCTGTGGCTCGAGTTATTGGCAGCTTATCAGAACAGAACTTGGCTCAACAGGGTGTTAGCCCACTTTCTGTATCGATCACAGGATTCTGAAAAAGCGACTACAATTTAGTAGACAAGGAAAAGGTTTCTCTGTTACAAAGTGGCTTATTGTAAAAGGGTTGAATGGGACCAAAACTTGAATATTTTCATGTGATCAGCATATTTTGACCCTTGTACCTTCTCAGCTTTAAGTCTTAAAGGCCTCGTGGACCTTCGGTTTAAAGTTTGCTTTAGAGGATGAAGTTCTATGACAGTTTAAATCACTTCATGGCCATGAAATCCCAGTCCCTCATCTAGGCTGGCTTTTGTAAGCACTCTGTGATCTAGGATATGGGTAGGACTGGAAGTGCATCAGTGCTTTAACTTGCAGCTGGCTTCCTCAGTCCTGATGAAGATGATGCCAATCATTGTTTTCCTCACTAATTTTTTTTTCTTTTTATTCTAGAGGCGTAGGCTGCCCTAAGACCATTTGTGTCTTATTCCCCAAAGTTTCTAGGAACTGTTTATGATACTGCCAGTAAAACTGAAATTATTGTGCATGTTTTTTCCTACTTACTCATTTCACCCTTCTGGACCCTTTGACACCCATGGTCTTCTCCTTTTACCACCACTCAGATTCAGATTTTAAAATAGCACACAAATTCTTTTTACATGTATTTGTAACAGAAATAACTAAATCTAGAGTTGTGTACTGACTTTCTCACTTGAGAACTGAAACAGACAGCAGGCACCATAATGGGGAGCATACAGTCAAAACAGAAATAATGTATAGCAGCTCAAATTTATACCACACTCTTGGTGTATATTGACTCTTATAAGTAATTCTGGCTTACTGAAAAACATTTTAAAGTTGCATTTTAAAAATAACTGCAATTATATAACAATGTCCCAAAATAAGCGTCATAAGTTGGCTTGATTTGTGCTCAAATCTTAATATTTAAAGATTGCTTCCTGACCTTCCAGCTGCATGGATGAGAAGTGAAAATAATCTCAGATTTCCAAAAGAGAGAGTGACCAATCCTTTCCGTTATTTTGTGCTATTAAAGAAAGGTCCATTCCTAAACAAACAAAAAGAAAAATGTCACTGCTTAATATCTTCAATAGTCATTACTGACAGAGAATCATGCATTTGATCTCAATAGAAGCACCATAAATGCAGGCTATTTATAATGTTTGATATCTGTGTTTCGATAATAATAATAATAGGCTTTAACTGTATTATGGGATGAAAGCCAGAAATGTACAAACTGTCCGGTAAATCTTTCATCCAAAGGCACAGCTGGGGAAATTTAAACAAGTTCGTGTTGGCTGTTCCTGCACTGCTCAGTATGACGTTGCAGTCCAAGCTTTTCATGTCCCAGTGTGGATGTTCACGGGTGGTCTGCAGGCACCTGTGTGCTTGAGCTCTGCAAAGCTTGCAGTGATCACAAAACAGAGCTGAGAGAAACCTAAATAGGAACAGGATGCTTCACAAGCATTTTGGATTTATTGTCTGTCTTCCTCTGTTGCAGCATCCCTGTCATATGCAATCCCACTCGTGAACTTTTTCCTTCCCACTTTCACAGGCCACACAAACCAACTGGGGAGGATTTTATAGTTTATTTCTCACCTATGGGACTATCTGTAATGCACCAGGTAAGTTATCCACAACTTAAACATTAGTGACCAAACTGTAAAAGATGGGGCCTGGAGAAGCTCTTCTGGTTTGACCACTTCTGCAAAGGGTTCTCCTGAGGTGGGAGACCACAGGAGTGCTGAGCTACGTGCAATGACTCTGCAGGTGTCTTTCAAAGCTCCAGTTTTTACTGAGTCTGTCCTTTTCTCTGATTCTCTCTCTTCCCTCTTAGCTGCCTTCAGCTCTTCTCCAGTATTCTCTTGCCAACTGCTGTGGAATTTGGCCACTTTTTTCCTTCGGTTCTGAGGCCTTTGTCTAAACTTTATGAAATTATAGGCTAGAGGGAATCCACACCAAGGTGCTGCTGTGCATTCTCAGTCATAAACTCATAAACAGAAGGGTTCTTAGGGCTGGTACAATGTCTTTCCTGACATTCCTTCCAGGAAGCTCTGACCTACATTTCAACCTGGCATCCTATTTCTTCCTGGACTTCAGAATATTCACTCCCAGGAATTTCCTTCCCTCCTTAATGATTGTAAGATGCTAATGCCTCCTCAGCCAGACTGACCCTCAAACACATGTTCCTCATTACATGAGCCTTACTTTTTCTTTCCCACAGGAGGGTGGCACAGTTATGGCTGAGTCTGCCTTCTCCTAAACAAGTTTGCTGCTTTTAGCAGTAGGGGCTGAACACGTATTGTCCAGCTGCTATGTCAATGTGCTTTAGCTCCCCAGCTGCCTGATCTTGAGCTCAGGAAGCACTGGGATCTAGCAGTTGTGCTTAAGCCTTTCCCACTGGTAAAGAGCATGTGTTTTCAAAATACAAGTATTACTAAATCTCCCTGAATTGAACCATTTTGAACTTTTATTGGGAGCATAAACAAATTATTTCTTAATTTAAGGGGTTTGAATAAGCCTTATAAATATATGTGTGTGTGTGTGTGTGTGTATACATACATACAGATGTAGATATATATATATACACACACACATATATATATACACATATATACATATATACACACATGCACACCCCTTCATTATGTAAATGTGTATTGCCATATATCCCATTGCAAGGCTTGTCTAGCAAAGAGTTTGTATTTTTTTCATAGCAAACTATCCAGTTACTTACTTGAAAGGTAAACAAAAACTTAATTCTTGTTATCCAAAGGCAAAAGAATTGTATTCTACCAAGCAAACTGTGGAAGTATTTCAAACCTGATTTTACATCTTTTATAGAAAAGCTGCTTCATTTTGTTTTCACTTATCAAGTCTTTGCACCTGAGCTGCTGTGAGTGTCTGTATGGCCATTTGCCCTGTCTTAAACATGTAAACAATACATGTTCCTCAACATCTCCTACCTGCTAAGTCTTAACATTTCCCAAAACAGGGCCTAAAGGCAGCATAGACTGCCAAGGAACCACAGGGAAGGGAAAGAAAATAATCTTGATAAGCTGCTGCTTAATTGGCTAATAAATGAGAGCTAAAATGTAAGAGGAAATGTTCAAAAGAACAAACTGCAGCAAGAGACTTCTGGCAGGGCTACAGAGGGAAATCACATGATACATTCTGAAGTTTGCAGACACTGGGAAGGATCCACAGTTTCTTGTCCATGTGGAGACAGGAAACGCTCACCAGACTTGTAGTCTTCAGCAGCTTTTTTTAAAAAAGCCTCTATTTTATCTGTTTTGTTTCCACAGAAAGACTTGCTGCTTTCTGTACTGTGTGCTCAAGCTGTGTGTAATCAATCTCTGCATCTCTTCCTTTAAGTTCTGTGTGAAGTCAGTCTCCTTCCTTCCACTGCACTGAAAACCTGTGTGTTTTGGCTCTGGAGTCTCCCCTGCACCCGCCCTGCCCGTTGCTGATGCTGCTTTAAACGGGGTTCATTCGATCAGCCTCAAGGAGGTTTAGATCAGCAGCTCCTTAAAGCAGCTATGAAGCCTGGGGGCTGGCTGTGCTAGGGCTCCAAGAACTCCAGTTCTGGGTTGGATGTAGGCAGTAGCAGGAAGACATTCCTGGATGCTGACCTTTTCTTGTGATAGGGTTTCCTGCCTATGATATTTTCCCAAATTATTTTGTTTCTCTTTTTTCTCTTTTTTGTACTTGCATTTATCTTCATTCTTATTCCCATGGATACACAGAACCTGAAGTCTTCTTTACATATTTGTTCGTGTACATCACTAGGATTATTTTTAGGCCATTTTAAAATTTGTGCCTGGGTTTCCCCAGTTTCAGAAGTAGCTTTACCTCAACTATAATGCTATAACCACTTTTAAAGACTTTTTGGTTGCTATTATTTCTTCAGCATCTGTAATAAAATTCTGCCTCACTAATGCCTGTATCATTTTTCTCTTTATCCTGTATCCCTGACAGTTGCTTAGGTGGAGTGGATGTGGCTTATCCATCCTCCAATTAGTAATGATTGAATGGAATGCTTATACAGGGATGCAAAAATGCTGTATGAGCACTTTGCTTGATTTTTTATACAGAATTTTATTTATAATTCCACTTTCATCCTGAAGATGGAATTAATTTTAAGCAATCCTGGCAATGGTTTCTGCAGTATTTTGTGCTGACTCCTTGGTACAAGCACTTTAGTAATGAGCACTTGTTACTCTCTTCTGAGTAAGTGATGAACTGAAGAAAGAATGTTTTTCTGTGTGTCGTGTGCTTCTCGTTGTACCTTCCCCTCATCCTTCAGAGACCTCTGTGCTGTGGCAACTGTTGCTAAAACTCCTTTTAGCATCACCCAAATGCCTGTGTAGGTGGGGCTTTAGAAAGAAACTAATGTGTCAGTTGAGGACACTGGGAGCAGGTCGATCTTTAATCCAGGAATGCGGCTTAGGTGCTCTGCAGGAGATATATTCTACTTGTGTGTGCTCCAAAAGAGCAGCAACAGGACAAAGTCACTCCTTTTATCTGGAGCTTTTTCATTCCCTGGTAATGTTTAGACTTTTGTATCAGAACTTTTCAAAGGCTGTGTTCTGTTGCTGTTAGGAGTTGTGGCTGATGCACACCTCTCCCTGTAAACATTCCCTGATTTGGTTTTAGGGTTAGCAGCTACTGACCACTCTTCCCACTTAGGTATGACCCACTCTCACCTAATTCACATCCCCAGGAAGGCCAGCTTAAAAGGTTACTGGGAAGAAGGGAAATAATTTGATAATGAAAGGCAAGAGGTGAGGCAGGAATATTTTTTCTTTTATTTTGACTCTTGCTTCCAAATTGGTGCATAATTTGTTGTGCAAAAGGTCTTGCTTACTGTTTGCTGTTTTCAGGTTTGTGTGTTTGTTTTCATATGGAACAGTGAACAGATCAAATTGCTGCTGTTAGAAGGAGATGTCTGTAAAGGAAAGTAAAGGAACATCCATAATGTTTTCCTTTACTTGGAGACTTCTTGAATGCTAATTGCCTGTGTGTATACTTCATAATGTACCATATGCAAATATTCTTCAGGAATTGATACTACCACTTCAGTCAATATTTTCTATGTTAGAACTGTATGTTTCCTATACTGCCAAGAATGTATATATATCTATGAAGACTTAAGATTGTATCTTTTTGAGCAAGCCTCTTTCTTCAGCCATCTGAAACTTTCTTCCTGTTTCTCAAGTTTTCTGCTAATTTATTAGACTCTTGTGTTATATTGTGTACTTTTTGTATCAGTTGTATCGCTGTATTTCTTCTTTCTCTCATTAAAACCTGTTCTTCTCATCCTCTACTGTGCTGCTTCATATTTGAAGTACTCACACCATATCAAGTAACCAGATCTAGTGCAGTGGGTCAGCCTGAAGTGGATCCAGACCAGTCCTAAAAAGCCAGTCATTCAGACTTCTATTATATTGTTCCATTGATCCCAACATGTAATCCACTTTATTGTTTTAAGCTTAATTTTGCAGCATAGTCTGTACTTTTATAATATAGTAAAGAAGAAACCTGGAATGGGACTCTCAAGGTATAAACAAATGGACAAGACACAAAAAATGTACTGAATTATGAAGCCCATAACTTTTATGGATGGATGTTTCTGCTTACATTCGTTAAGATATTGGTGGACTTCCTGAGGGAAAGAAATTTTGAGGAGAGATTTGGAAGAGGATCCCAAGAGCTAATTTTTCCTAGAAATATGGCCATCAACTTAAGTTAGTCAGTTATCTGTGCCATCTCCATGCTTAATTCATCTTACAGGTAATTGAAGAGGAAAAAATGAATGCAGGTTAGGACCTGTTTGCTTACTTCCATTAAAGAAGCAGCTGATTTACAAACAAGAAAATGCTGTCTCACAAGAAATCACTCAATGAACAGATAGAGAAATGACAGTGCTTTTTAATCCTCCCAGTAAAAGCAAGAATTTCAGTGTTTCACTGATGCTAATTCCTTTTTAGCAGTGCAGTATCTTCTCTAACCTGGAGCTCTCAAAAGGCTCTCTTCCCCACAGAATGGTATGCAGGAGGGAAGAGTTCAAAGGTCCTGTACAGTGGACCCAAGGTATTGAAAGAAAGTGAACAGAACATGCACATGCACCTGTGTGTTGAGTATCTGGCAATTTTTGAGGTTAGGAAAACAGTTGGCAAGATGGAAAAATACCAGAAGCTTCTACTCTTGGAAACTTAAGGATGAAGTTAATCTCATCTTTAGCACCACCTTTACAATTATGGTAGAATATATGGAAATAGCTATTTCACCTAGCCTTGGTTTTCACACAGACTCTTCATCACCCTCTCCTTCATTAAAACTATTCCTGTACTACAGTTGCACGTGTGCATGAAAAAACCCCATGGAGTGTCCCCGTCCATTTAAGGATTTCTTGTCATGGTGTTGTGGTAGCAAGAAGCAGAAACACACATGTAGAACAACCATGCTGGTTTTGATCACATTGTCATGGGTTATCTGTAGGTTTAGATTAGGCAAATGCCTGTCTGTGCAACTGCATACATTTGCTATTTGCTTCTAAGTTGCATTTAGGGATGATACCACATTGGAAATTATTAAGGAAAATTCTAGTATAGAGAAGAACTAGCACAGGGAATTCCACAGGCCACTGTAGCCTTTTCAATCACTCACAGAAGTGTTTGCAAAAACACCCAGCCTAAAGCTGATCTGTCCAGACTTCAATCAAGAATGCCTGACTTGGAGAGAAAGCATGATAGGCCATATGAATATACTGAAATATAATGAATGAATGTAATGACTATATTTGAAAATGCTACTGTTAATTATCTGTTATATTTAATCCCTGACTTCCCTATCATTCCAGTAATTGTTTTGTGCGCACATGAAGTGACAAGCTTCCTTCAGAGATGAATGGACTGCAACTATAATAGGTGCCATTGTTTGATATAAATGAAATACATTGTTTTGTTAAGTTAAAAAGAAGTCAGAGACATTCCATGACCTATCTAAGCTAGCTGAGAGCAGCTCAGCAAAAGACTGCTCAATTCATTTTGGCCTATATTCTGTATTCTTCTTTGTTGTCACTGTTATCACCTGATTCTTAGCTATTCACAATAGCCTAATAGATCAACATCATCATCATCATCGCCTGCATGATGTATTGGTTAAACCAAGAGTGGAAAACAGTGATCTTTGCATTGATTCCAGGCACTCTTGAAGTTTCAGTTTGATTACTGGCTTGCATCAGCTTTAAATTGAAAAAAATATATGGTTCCCAAAAGCCATGCAGTAAATAAATTGTGAAAGTTGCAATTATTTCCTTTTCCTGCCTGTCTTTATTTCTGCTTTGAAAACTTCTGTGAGAGAGCCAGCTATGGCAGGACATGCTTTAGCTCCTGGGAATGCTCCCTCCAGGAGCTGTATGCTCAGTATGAGGATGTGAGGTATTTGACCATCTCCTGCTATTTCTCTAGATTGTTTCTAAAGCTTCCCTGTACTATTAATGAAATGAAGAAGCTAATTGCTAGAAGACAGCTGGCAAAAGTAATTGCTCCTTTAATTGTAATTAAATTTTTATGACTAGTGCCAAAATGTGTATATAACAGCCCATAAAACAAGTAAGTCTTGGTCAGACATACACAAAGAAGCAGGGGGTGAGCCCAGGACCTTTCTCTCTTTTCTTGTTTTCTCCTTGACAGTAACCACCAGTAAAGATTCTGTAACACAGCAGCTGGGTTTAGACAGCCCAAACTGCTGAATGGGACAGGAAGGAATATACAAGATGGAGAACTTGTAAACACACCAAAAATGTCCAAGTACTTTGATACTGAGACTGCTGTACTTGCTGCTCTGAGTCACAGTGCTTTATATATAAGAAATTAAACAAAGAAGCCAAAGGTCTCAGAATGAAATTATTAAAACCAATGCTGATGGAAAGTAAAATACCTGAACGTGAAATCACTTGGAAGTAACCCATGTGATAATCACTCTTTGTCTTAGCTATTTTTTAAGGTCTTTAGTAGACTGGCTGTACCCTATGATAATAGAGTTGGCAAAGAGCAGCTTTCCTTGGATGTACATCTGCCAAAGAAGAGAACAAAAAAAAAGCTGAATTGGCAAGAGCAACCTCTTAGCCTAAATGAAGATGATAGATTGAAAAACAAAGAGGATTGTTAGGTAGCTTGACTTCCTTTATTATGGCTTTCAGCCTTCACCTTTCACGACTTTTTAATAAAATATTTTATTTTATTTAAGAATTAAAAAATAAAACTCAGATTCTTCTGGTCCTTCCAAAATTTCCAAAGAGCATAGGGGAGTGTATAACAACATTCTGCATGCTGTTTCAATGACTATCAAAACCCACCATCCATCCTGGTAACATTTCAGTTTGTGTCATAATATGACATATTTGAAGATGAACACAGAAAAGTACCTTAGACACAGGAAAAAACAACTGTTTCTTTGGGTTTTCTCTTAATATGTTAACAAATTTTTTTGCTTTAATTTGTTGTTATTGTTGCTGTTTTGTCATTTTATCAAGAAGGAGTAAAGTAGGATATCCTGCTTCTACACTTTCTAAAGTAGCAATTAACTTTCCTGTTTAAATACTCTATCTCTTAGAAAACTTTTCTAGAGAAAAAAGGTGACCAAGGTTATTTTGATAAGTGATTATAAACCTATAGGAATTAACTATGCTTGATATTCAAAGCCATAAGTTTTCAAAATGTGGGCAAAATCTGAAACTTTAGTAAATTTTTCTCCCTAGAAAAGTGAACCACAAAATTAAAGCTAATTCGGGGCTGTTCAGAAAGATCCAGAGCAATTTCCCTACTCTTATTTCCACAGTTTTGAACTTGATTTTGATTCTGAAGTGAATTTCCTGATATCTCAATCATTTGAATGTTTCCTGAAGCTGGTATTTATAGATTACTATCACATCATGACATTCTCAACAAAGCAGATGAGTTAAAAGCCAAATTCTGTTTTGTGCTAGAATTCTTAAACAAACTGAGTTAATTATGCATTTTGTAGTAAGATGTCAACAAATGAGAGGAGGCAACCTTCTGGATTTTTAGAGTGTTTCTATTCTCTTTGGGTTTTAGTCACAGTATCACACACTAGTCTATGTCCCCAGATTCAAAATTACCAGAGCAAGTTCAAATAAGATAAATAATTTTCCAACATATGGCAAAGACTGTTCCACATATATGACATATGGATAGATATAACCTATGGATGATATGTCATATGGATGGATACAACATATGGATGATATGTCATATGGATGATAAGTCAGACTTAGGGCTTGAGGAAAAGCCTGCTGAAATACTAGATACAAGAAGGAAGGTGAGAGCAGTAGACTTTTCTTGGTCAGTGACATAGCTGGGCCAGATTCATGCTGACATGAAGGCCCATGTCATTGTTCTGGCAGCGTAAAGGAGCCTTTGTTTCAGAAAAAATTGGCTGAATTGAACTTGAAACTGTAAGGGTCATTTAAGCTGTTGTACTATCCAAAGCTGCTTCTGTTGTGGGATGTTCCTGGTGTTAAACAACTGGAAACCTCTGGCTTACTTCAGGGAAGCTCTCAGCTTGCAGGACTCCATGAACACTTCAGGGTAATGCATATTCAAGCAACAATGGATGTATTGTTCACTAGAAGGAAATCCGGAGGACCGCTGAATTTCCTTCATCTTACACTCATACCAGTATGTGTTAATCTGTAATATAACCAGTAATGAATGTAACATAGAGCACTGCTTTTACTTATGGGTGATTGAGAGAGGGGAAAAAAGCATGTTTCAGTTTTATAGGAAAAAATTATTATAGCAATGTTTTACTCAACTCTGAAACATTTTTTCTTTCAGCTGAGTAGCATTAGTCTCATTACTGTGAAAAGCTTTATTTACCTGTGTGAGAGCAGCACTCAGAGCAGCACAGATTTGGAAGTGATGAACAGTTACATCAACATAATACATGTCACATTATAGCAAAGGTCCTCATTTCTCTGTCCTCTTTTTTAAATTCACTGCTGGGAGCTGTGTCAGCATCATAACAAAGGGAATCCTATAAGCTCTCCTTGGGGTACAGTTTTGAGTGTACATCAGCAAGTGGAAATGACAACTAGCACTTGGCTTCAGCTACTGATTCTCTGGCTACATGGACTCTTTTATGTCTGTGTTCTTTCCCTTGAGGCAAATTCTTACTCATTTATTCTAACTTTGCTGACTCTGTCTTGATTTTCCTATTCTTACTTCATTCTCTTCCTCATATCTTGTACTATGTTTATCTCACTGCTTTTTCTCCTTTTTGAT